TTTCCAGTGATTGCTGTATATTGAAATATGCTTCATCTTAACATTCCTGTGAATGAGTTTAGGCTTCCTTGTGATATTTTTTTTTAATACCAAGCAAGAATAATTACAGTTCTCTGCCTTTCTACCAGCCATTAGAAATGGAAAATATTTCTTGAAAATTAGCCCAAATGACTTTCCAATAACAAGCTTTCTATCTGTTCTTACTGCAAAGCTTTTTTTTTTTTTTAACGTGTTTTGAAGATCGTTGATTAGCACAGCTTTCCTCACAGAGGTTTTGGTATTTCGAAGGTTGTAACTGAAATTAATTGGAAATCCACAGGGCCAGAAGACAGTTGGTATAAAACCTGAAAATATATATTTGTGAATCCTGAAAGGAGCCCCTAATAAGAGATTGAACAGCTATGGGGCATGGAAATAAGGGGCACCCAGATGGCTCAAGAAGGCTTAGCTAGCAGTGATGAAAAACTCAAGAATGCTTTTAGAGAAAAGGAAAAAAGGGAAATGGTTCAGGAGGGAGGATTGGAGAGGAGGCAGAGTAACTGTGGAGCCATGGAGATTTTGATTCAGAAAACTAGGGGGTGATAAAGCCAAATCAAAAGGTCTTAGCCCTGACTTACATAGAAAACTTAAGCCAAAGACCGGGGAAAGGGGAAAAAAAAGAAAAAAAAAAAAGGCAAAAGTAGAATTCTTTGAGCTCTGTGTACTGCATGAATTGAAAAGTAAAAGTACAGCCAAGACTGGGTCTGAAGAGTGTAGTTTTTAATATGGAAATCTCTGGCCATCTTTTAAACTTGGGGAATCTGTAGGAATGGAATGGAATGGAAATCTGCTAAGGTGAAGATAATGCAAATAGCTCATTATTTTCACACTATGCATTTGATGAGGCTGGTTTCAGATATCACGCTATTTCTCTGTTTTCTACTTCTAGCAAGATTTTAGTAAAAACAAACAAACAAAAAAAACCTTTAAATGCTATCAACTGTTACTGAGAGTATATGCTCCCAAATTGAATGTAGCATTAATTCACTTCATCACACCAGGTATGGTTCTGTGCAGTAGGAAACAACTTCAGGATCTCTACCCAGACCAGGTTTATAGACCTCCCAGATAATTACACAGGAGCCCAGTTGTGTTCTGAACAGGTGTGTCTCCCTGGAGTTCATGTGCATTTTAAAGATTCTCTGTAACTGGGTACTCATCACATTAACCATGATGTCCTATGTCTCCCAACCCAATACAGGGAGAGTAGAGCTGAGCTGCATTAAAGATAGACAGACATTGTATAGCCATGATTTCTGTATAACTGTGTATAGGTCACTATCATGAGCAAGGCAATGGGACATTTTTTTTTCTTTCCACAATCCTTCAACTGGTTTTCCCAGTGGAGTTCTGCGAGCATTCGCAGAGGCTGACGGTGCCTCCCTAGCTAGCCTTCATTCTCCACTTGGCTTTGGTTATCTAAGCACCTCCTTAATGAGTCTTGATAAATGCAGACCTTAGAGAAACTGACCTTTCAAGTGTCCTGGAGCATCTACTAACACCATGTTGTGCCAGCAGACCTGTCACTTACCACAAGTCTTTAACTTCCCCTTTCTCAGAGTTGATTGATAGTCTGTAAGACTGACAGCTCTTACTAAACTTGGAAACAAATGACTCATTGGATCTTTTCCAGCCATGCATTGTACCAGAATAGAAAAGAGGAAAACAGCACATCTCTTGGAGATGTGACTCTAGGACAGCCAACTCTAAGACCCCAGGGTCTATCTGGGTCTTTCAACAGTCAAGAGTTGCTCTGGGCATTTATATGCATAGTGTTTATCTCACTGTCACTCTCCCCACATTGATTGAGGTGGGGATTTTCTGCCATTTACAGAGCAACCCAGGGACCCTCTGACTGCAAGGCAGAGGTAGACTGCCCAAGGGCTCTCCACTGGTGTCTTCTTTCAGTCATTGCACGGTTTCTTTAGCCCTCGGGGAGAATTAGTGTAAAGGACTGCCTTCAGGGTAGATGGTTAGCTGTAAATCTCTGTTACATTAAACCTAGAATCTGTCATACCCAGAGCATCCTACTGACTAAAAGAATAAGAAAGAAAATGCCATCATAAATGCTCAGCGGTAGATTGGGTAATAGAGCCTAAGACTTCAGATCTATCCCATTTGGAGCAATACGTCGTTGGATACATTTTATGGCAAGAATAGAACATATGGAAATGTGGAAGTAACTTCTATTAATCTTGTATATATCTGAGTCATTCTGTTCAAACTTTTCTATTGGCCAGGGACTCTGTTCAATGAGCTGTGTTTGCTTTTGTTTTTGGAAGGAGAAGCAGCACTGAACCCTCCTACCCTACCCCCCAGGTGTACGCTCCACAACAAGGTCAGGATCCTGGGTGAGGAATTTGTTCCAGGTTTGTGTAATACAGCTATACACTGTGAGCAGATAACCAGTCTGTTAAGGAGCAGACCTAATTCTCACCCAATTTTTTCCCTCCCATTATTTTTACTATTCTCCTCCAGGCTGCTACCTGTTCTGTGCCAGGTAACCCCCACCACACTGCTCACTCTCCTGTTTATCTTTCCATACTGCCTTTCAGAACCCCCTCAAAGGCTCCCACGTTTTCTCTGACCACCTGCTGTCCACCCACTGCCTGCAAACAAAGAGAAGATGCATTTTGAGTATAGCTGTGGGTTGGGAGGAATTGGGGGAATATTTAGGCATAATATCCCTATCATGAGTTGTAAGAATGTGTGAAGATAGGTGGGATGTGCAATGAATTATTTGGGGGGCCTCCTTCATCTACGTGGTGGGACTACATCTAAAGGCCAGTAGCTTATACCTTCCCCTCCTGCAGCAATCACGGTGCTGGCTCCTTAGAAGTGCTATTTCTGTTGATTTTTTTTTTTTCAATTTCAGTATGTTAAATAGAACATGGGAGATACTCTCTAGGGCACAGTCAACATGATTAAAAAATGACTACAAAATAATTCTAGGCTGTGAGTGTGCTTTTAAGTTAAGATAGGAGAACAGATGAGAACTGAGTTTAGGTCCAGGCTGCCTGTGTTCAGTATTAGTCCTGCCACTTCCCAGAGGTGTGACCTTGGGCCAATTAACAATTTCTAACCCTCATTTCCTCTATCTTTGAATAGGAAATAATGATGGTATATACTGCTCAGTGTGACTGTAGGGATTAAATGAGTTAATCCACAGAAGATCTCTGGCATATGCCTGGCACACAATAAGTACACTATAAATATTTGCTATTCTTATTTGATTGATTCTTCTGCTCTATTTGAGAGATTGTATCATTCTGCTATATTTGGGAACCCTCATTATTAAAAATTTCAATGAGGATGAATGTGTATGAAGCTAAATTTGTCCACCACATCACTATTCTTTGATCTCACTGGCCTTATTATGAACACACATTCACCATTCACCAAATGCCTGCTATGCATATGCCCATAAGCCACCTGTTGCTGCTATTACAATACGATACCTAAAATTTCTCCCTGCCCCATAATATAGCTGCAGAAAGATCAATGCACAAGCAATCTCAATCTTCCTGATTTTTAAGAACGAGTTTTTAGTTTGCATCTTCTTGGCTAGAAACTTTTTGCAACAACTCCCAACCCAATGATTGCTTTCCTCATTACTTCATCTAACTGACCTAGAATACACAACGCTGGCTGATAGAGAAAGAACAGGAAAAAAATAGAGTGCCATGAGAATTCTTTTCTGACATTAGCTCTGTTTTTAGTTCAGCAAGGTAACAGCATCGTTTGTCTTTCCAATCATACTTGGCTCCATTACTCATGAGGCCTATTATTTTCTCAAGAGTTATATCAAACTGCTTCCAGACATCCATCATTACATCATTGTGTCCTCTGCACTTAGCGGCACAATGCAAAGGTCTCACATTAGAAAATACCTCCAGACAGAAGCCGTTCGTAAGAAATACCAGTCATAAATGTTAACCGACATTAATTTTTTCAGTGTACTTAAGGTGTTTCTCCTATCAGTGAGTATAGCTAGTAATTGTTCCTTAAAATTTTCTTCCCTTTTCAAAGTTTTTATTCCCTTGTAAAGGAAATAATTTTTATATAACAGTGATGTTTGATTTGCTCAATCATAGTCTTTCTTTGTGTTATCTTTTGAGGTAAAATGTAAAGAACTTTGCCTCTGTAATATTTTTCCTCCTCTGAGGAGTTTTCGAGGTCTAGATGAAATATGCAGTCTCTTTTCTGACATTGCTGACTCTCTCTTGGCTTGAACTACTTGATTTAAAATAATGCTAAGCTTTGTATTTTCTTGTGGCCCTCTCCCCAAAATGTACTCCCTGAAAACTCAGAAACTCTTCTCTTTTTCTCAATCTGGAAGTTTTAGGGACAAACGAATGTCTTCTTCCCTGTCTACCCAAAGCTCAGCATAGCGCTTAGGGAACACGCCATGTCAACAGAAGACTTTGAGGATCTGAATGTCTTAAATCTGAGGTTTTTGAACAGATGTCTTTTTCTGGCCTGAAATTCCATATGCAGCCATTTTCACTCAGCCAGTTCAAAAGAATAAAGCAACAGAAAAAAAATTTTTTTCCATATTTTCTCAGTGAATAACACATGGGCACACATTTCTATAATATATTGATCAAAGCCCTATGAGAAGTGTCAAAAATAAACTGAACCTACAGCCTCTTCCCTGGAGGAGTTTTACAGGTACAATATTTTTTAATAAAGAATATGCTGATGGCTGACCTTCTGGTGAAATGCTACACGTTCCCACTAAGGACCTCTCTTTGGATTCATGCAGGATTTTACCTACAAGTACCTTTTGGAGCCTGAGAAGTTATTGCTTCCTCTAATTCTCTATCAGTTAGAATATTTGACTAAAGATATGCTTCCTTTTTCTTAACTGTAAGATTTCAAGAATTCTTAGATACATTATTTAAATTCGTATTGTTTTGGTAAATGTTTACACCTTTCTCCTTGATTTATTTCAAATACAGGGACCTCCTGGTATACAAGGAGTACAACAGACTCTTGGAAATTATAACAAGGTATGGCTTCCCTTCTTCACATCGTACATACACAGACATTTTATTTAATCATATTTTTGAAAAAAAAAAACTTAATTCCTAATCGCTCAGACTCTGAAACATGATAACATGTTTCAAAAACATGTTATCACTGAAAGTATGTTTCCAAAAAATGTACCTTGCTCAGCATCTTTTCACAAAAAAAATAAATTTTTTATAGATTAAAAAAATTACTTCAAAGTTTGCAAAACTTAATGCAAAAAATTAATGCCAACCATCATGCTTCACCATTGATACTGTCATAAATCCAGTTTCTCGGAGGGTAGACATAGATTATTTGCTGCCTTGAAGCTCGAGTAGCAAATAGGTAATAGATTTCTTATCAGAACCAATCACTGCTACACTAAAACCTCCAGCAAACCTTTACATAACCATAAGTCAATCTGGGGGGGGGAAGTCCCCCACCTTTCAGGGAGAGGCCCTTTCCCCAAGGTTTTTAAATTTTAAAGGTTTTTAAATTTAAAATTTAAATTTTAAAGTCAGGATAGATGGAATACTGACATGGTAGTACCTGAGTGGTAAAAGTTAAGAATGTTTTGCTCTGTTCTTCAAGGAAACAACAACAGAGGAAAGGAAAATGGGTGTTGGCAGTGAAGTAAGACCCAGAGACCTAAGTGAGACCACTGAGTGACCCATCATTTAATGACAAGTATTTGAGGTCTGATCACTTGGCATGAGGCATTGTGTTTACAAAGTAGGATCCCTTCTATACACAACAGCTTGTTGTTGATATGTTGCTGGTAAATAATCATGCTCCGACACAAAAACAAGTTCAGAAACACTCCCCTTTATATCTTTCTTTTATGTTCTTGCTTTGCTTTTAATAAATTCCTCTGACTACGGTCATTCCTCTTTCTTTAGAAATCCCAAAGAGAGGCTATGTGCCAGCTAAGGCCCTGAAGATGCCAGGCGCTCAGAAAAGTGTTTATTAAATGATGAGCTAATTAGTTTGAAAAATCCCAGTTCTTCTTTGATCAGATTAAATTCAACATAAAGACTGTGGAAAGTGTGTAGAGCTTGCAGCACTTCCTAAGTGATCCTTCTCATTTACTTAGATTTTCTAGGGAGTATTCTATTAGAATGTTTGGGGTATATTTTATGATTCTCTATTAAGCATTTTCTGAATAGATCTATACCACCTTTATGAAAACATTAGGGCTTGGCACAAGTGGGGAAAAAAAGTGAAGCATACCTAAAATTAATCAGTTAAAGTACAGTGCTTTCTCTGTAATGGCATCTACTGTCACAAAATAGGATTTATCATAAATGCTTCAAAATAATGAGAATGAGTTGGCTCTGATGTCACAGTGTCAGCTAGAAAAACTTAAAGAACACACTCTATTACTATCACCTTTGGTATAAAATTTACCAAGTTGCTACTCAGCTACTTAAATATTTGCTATCCCTTGCAAAACTTTTAAAGCTTGTATCTATACAGGTCTCCCAGCACTACTTCTATATATAGTCTATCTTGCCGATGAGTCAGTTTTCCCTCAAATGAAGATATATGAAGCATTTGTATTTTAGTCTGAAGTTGAGAATGTAAATTTTTTAACTTTAAGGTTATATTTCAAAAAAAATGGGGGCTGGCCAGAGCAGACAAGTGGAGAATCTTGCTAGTAGTAAAACCAGGACTTTGAACTTAGCTATTATCTCGTCCAAAATAACTCCAGCTCTGTATCCTTGCCGGTAGGGGACTGAGGCTTGAGGGATTTAGTCCACATGTGTTCGAAATGTGGCTTTGGAGCTAGAGCATAACTGGTTAAACAGGAGAGACCATAGTTTTTCTTCCCCAAGCAATGCATTGTAACCACTTGGCATCAAAAGATTTTAGACCCATCTGGGAATCAGTGGAAGCTGGCTCCCCAAAGACTTCACTTGGTTTCATTCTGAGAGTAATTAGAACTGTTTTATGAGCCCCCACCAGAACAGATGGAGGAGGTAGGGCCCAGCTTTTCAGTACCTACCATGACCAGTGTTTCTGGATGATAACCACTTTATCCTCATCCTCAGCTCCACAAAGGAAAGGGCCAAGTGTGCCATGATGAGAGAGATGCATGTTTTCACTTGGCAGTGACTTCACCCACCCACCCCCATCTATTTTGGATACTGAGGTGGTTTCATTTTGTAATTCATTGCATGCCTGATGGTCTGGCTATAGCATATAAGGAGAGGGGGGAACATGAGGGAAATTTTCTTGGAGATTAAGTGATGGACATGTATTGAGACCTATAAAGTGATGCTCCAAGGTTAAAATAATCTTCCCTTTTAAATTGGCATTGATTTATGGAATGTCTGCACTTGAGTCCTGGACCTCAGCAACTCAGCTCCCAGTCTTACAGCCTGGATTCTGCTGAAGCAGCCATCCCCCCACCCCCTCCCACCATGGGAGGATGAACAGCAGGCGACCAGACACTCCTCCTCCCCATTCTAAACCTGAAGAGTCCACAGTTCATTCCCTCATCGCAGGAATCCTCAAAGGCCAAGGAATTGTCCTGTGGTCCCGGTACAGGAGTTGGTCTTTTCCCCTGTGGTTTTCTGTTCATCTGGAGGGAGAAGCTTAGGCATAAAAAAGCTTCTCCCCTCCTGGCATGAATCACAAAGGGAATTGCATGGGAGAAAAGGAAGTAAGGAATATCGAGAGGCTCAGGAGTAAGGTTGGGAAGATTCTATACGTGTGTTTGTATGTATTTTTGCATGCCCACTTGAGGCTGCAAAGAATAAAAGGTAGAAGATCGCCCTCTCCTTCACAAAAATAATTTACAAACAGCTGCTCCCACTCTGTAAGATTGTTTGCAAAACAAAGCAACAATGCTGAGAATATTCTCCCCCTTAAGGAAATCTGCTCACAGTCCAACAAACTGCTTTTCATTGTCCCCAACTCTGGGGATTTTAATAAAAATTTGATAGGCTCTGTCAACTGCTAAAGCCATCAGATCCAGAGCCTCTCTCGACAGTCTAGATGGGGGAAAAGTGTTCTTTGTGGAGGGCCAGAATGGGAGGATTTTACGTTTGATGTTGTTTTTAAAGATCCTCGTTGAAAATGCAGAGTTGCGCTCTTTCCCATCGCTACACTCGGTGCAATTTGCAGAGAATCGGGCTCCACGGCAGGAGATTGCTGCTCTGCCTCTAGCAACCAATTCTCGTGCTCACTCTCCGAATTGTTGATCCAAAAAAACCAATTTGCTAACCAAATAATCTATTTTCCTTTCAAGTAGCAAATCATAACTTCATTTTAATATCCACAGACAAGAAAGGACAGAAAAATATTTCTCCAGAAAAAAATCAAACATTCAGAGTCTTTCCAAATAGTGAGTTAAACCCACCCGTGACCTAGAAGTGAAATGAAGGCTTTCTTGGGGACACTAAAGGCAACCTTCTGGGCCCAGAAGTTTCAGAAAGAAAATTTAAATCCTAACTTCCTGTCTCTTCCTCTTTGTGAACCATCTCCTGTGGTTCAACCTATCCATGTCCAGGTACATCATCTTTTTTCAGAGAATACCTTCTCCAAGTCAAATGGAAAAGCTTGAGTCTTCCCACTGGCCTGACTAGAGGTTTCAAAGTTCCATTCGTCATTGCCCACAAGAGAAATAGGACATGTTCTGACATCCCAGATTCTTGAAATGACCAGGCAGATTAGTAGCCCCATTCCACAAGCCTCATCACTTCCGGAGAACATTTTAAATAAGCACATTTAAAACCGTGTGACTATTACATTTATTCAAAAGGCATATAAAAACCCATTCAAATTACATGGCACCAATGTACAAATGACCTAGAAAAATTAGAATAATATCTATGGCAGAATGCCAGATTCCAGAAACGCAAGGACTATGTCTTTTATTTCTGTGGAGCCACATAGTTGTCTGGTACATTGAGCTTGGAGAAAGTAGAGAGCAAAATCTTACATGTCAATACCACTGAAGTTCAAGGTCAAATCTGCCTTGAGTATTGTTAGCCTCAGAGTGGAGAACAGCTCCAGAGGTCACTGAGGATCCTTGATTAGATGGATTTTCTGGCCTCGCTATTGAATGAAGCAAACATATGGGGCTCTGGTAGGCAGTAGTAAATAGCCCTGTTTTCTCTCTGGGTGTGAAAGCTACCAGAAAAATCAAGATTTTAGAACAATAGAGCATGTGGATAGAATAATATGAACTGGTGCTATAGAGGCAATTTTTTATCCCAGTTACAGCATCTCTAATATCCTGTAGGTTGTGGGGAGGTATGATGGGAGAAGGATCTAGACCAAGATGCTACGTTGTAATATGCTCTCACCCAAATGCACTTTGGGTACTCTTCTGCTCTGCAGTTCAAGAGCATGAAGCTTCCCAATCCAAGAACATCTCCGGATAAGTTATGCAGCAGACCAAAGCATGTTCCTTCTTCCTCCCAAATTTTCTACCTTAAACACAGCCAGGGAGAGGTGCTGATGGGTTGTATACACTGACAGGAATCATGCCCAAATGGCTAGTATTTTTAGGAAATGCCTCAGATTTATGTTTTATGCAGGTTGCATCTAAGCAACCTATCATTTTGTAACTGCTGATTCTTTATGTATGTGTGTATGTCTTAGAGTTTCACATCTCATTTTCAAATATGTCCTTGTAATAATTTACAGCTCAGGATTTTGAGAATACAATTTTTATTTTCAATTCAGACATCTCAGATCAAAGTTAAACGGGAAAAAGGAGAAATGTCTGTCACAAGACCAACAATAACAGCAGTTATAAACTACTTATTTTTGATTGGCATAGGATGAATAAATGGAAGGCATATTTAAAATGTCAAATTTTAGCAACAGTGATTTAAATGCCTGCCTCTGTATATTTTTGTTGCTTAAATGTTCCTCTACTTTTTTCTACCAACACATAGATTTTTAATATAAAAGAGTTTGGTGGGAAAAACACATAAATTAGAATTATAGGTTTATTTCTTCAACCAGTATTTATCGAATGTTTCCCGTATGTGATGTACTGTGTTAGGAATGGGGCCTTCTATTCCAGGTCATCATGGGGTTATAGTCTAGTGCAAAAGGTGCAAGATTCTTTAAACAAACACAAAAATAAAAATGTTAGTAAGTATTACGAAGGAAAAATACAATATCCAATGAGAATATATGAGAGGGGAACCTGTGTGGGAGACCTACAGGAACTTCCATGAATGGTGTTTTATCACAGTTGAGCCCTGAGGGATGAGTAGTTGCTTCCTGGACTGAGGACTGAGGACAGAGTGGTGATCTAGAGGGTGAAATGGGAAGGACTTTGGTCTATTTGAGAAGCTAAGAGAAGGCTATTACAGCGGAAAGTTCTGAGGGAGAACAGAGGCCACCATGATCCTGGAGAGGGAAATGAGTTTAGGTCATGCGGGATTTTGATGGCTTTGTAATGGTTTAGAAAGAAGGGCCTCAGAATGTCTTAAAGGTGTTTCTCTGAACTTCTATAGAAAATGTAGGTGTGTGGAAAGCAAGAGTGGATTATCGAATGCCAATTAGGGAGCTACTGCAGTAGTCCTGGCAAGCCATGATGAGTGAAGGTAGGTAGTGTGAAGAGAAGGGATTTGGGGAACAGAGGCAGCTGGGCTAGATGACTGGACTTGAGGGGAAGGAGGAGAGTAGTCTTAACAATGATACCCAGATGGAAGAAGGAAGACTTCTATGGATGGGAGAGAATGAATTCAGATTTTCTTTCTTTCCTTGATTTATTTTCCAATTGTAAAATGAAATTACCATGCATTTTAACAAGTAACTGTAGAGATAAATTAGGAAGAAGCCAACTGTTATTATCTCACTTCTGGACAAATGCATGTTAACGGCACGATGTAATTCTCTCATCTTTCTCTCTCATATGTGTGTATTGTTGTAATTTTTAAATTCAGCTTTGAACTTGTTGAATATGAATTTTTTCTGGAGTTTCCAAGTGAACACATCAAGTAGAAAATTAGATACATGGGTCAAAAGTCAGAAGGAGATGTATGCTGGGTTTATAGATTTGTCTTAGTGTGGTTGATACCTAAGCCATGGGAGCAAAGAGTGCCCAGGAGAAAATGTTGAGCCACAAGAGAAAAGGATCTGGACAGAGTCCTAAGGAAATCTAACGTTTACCCATTAGTAAGGGAGGGAGGAAGTGGAGAAGTCAGAAAGATAGGAAGATACTAGGAAAGTGAATATTATACAAGTCAAGAGCATGGCAGAACAGCCAAGAGGTTAGTTAATGGATCATCCATTATAGTGAACAACAAAGGTATCATTAGTAATGTTACAAAGTCATATCAGTGGACTTGTTGGGGACCAAGAGCAGTTTCCAGGCATTAATTTGGAGTAGTGACAATTTGCCCTTGGAGGTGTGATATTTCTCCCAAATCACCTCCTGGGGGGAAGTCACAGAGAAGATAGATAGGGTCTACACAGTTGGATGTTTTTCAGGAGTATTTCACAGAAGGTGAGAGAAGCAAAATTGATTAACATGGTATTCATAAAAAGCTATTATTAGAGCAGTGTTGCCTGACTATATTTTAATGCGGGGGCTGAATGTGTTAAAAATAAATTGACTTTTTTGTATACATACATTTTTTTTCCTTTGTTTTTTCCCACCTAGGGAAACCTTGGTGAATATGAAGCTCGTGGCCCAAAAGGAGAGAAGGTAATCAGATTTTTCCAAGTAAATAAAAATATCCAGAGTTTTACACCAACATATCCATTCCCACATCAGGGCAATCCCGCTGCCACATGGGCTTGCATCCCTGGGGAGGCCAGCGTTCAGTGGGCAAGAGCCTCCCTGCCTCTTGTCCAGTCATCTGGATTAGGCACTGAGAGGGTCTGCTCCCCGGTGAGGACTGTTAAATAGCAGCTGGCTGGCTGCAAGTTGGGGAACACATCTAGGGGAAATAGCTGGAACAAGGTAAATGAAATTAAGACGCAAGCTTCAGTGCATAAAGTGATGTTTCGTGAATTGGTGTAGGTGGCAAAAACCATCTGAAGACCCCTTTAGCAAAATGCCTCAGGCTGAGGCTCCCTGTTTTTGTGTCTTCTTAAGTATCCAAACATAAGCTGTCATGAGACATTTTTGGGGTGGGGTTTTATAGTGTGCGATCATCTTTTAACCAGTTATTTCAAAAAATAGTTTTAGGGGCGCCTGGGTGGCTCAGTCAGTTGAAGCCTTTGCCTTTGGCTCTGGTCATGATCTCAGGGTCAGGGTCCTGGGATGGAGCCCTGCATCAGGATCTCTCTCTGCTCAGCAGGGAGCCTGCCTCCCTTCCTCTCTCTCTGCCTGCCTCTCTGCCTACTTGTGATCTCTGTCAAATAAATAAATAAAATCTTTAAAAAAATAGTTTTAAAATTAAAACACTGATGAATTTCCATTGTGTTCTCACCATCATCTGTCACCGGTTTAATTACATGACGCATGAAGTTGACAGATTCACTTGCCCACTCAGAAAGATGTTTCGCTCTGGTTTGACTCTGAAATTGTGATGACCTCAGATTCAGTGTGAATGTGCCATTGTCAGGAAGAAACAATGCACGTTAAATCTACAGACAGAGATGAGTAGGTCTGAAAATACTCTGAGGGAATGTGGCCTGGGAGTGCTACTTTCATTCTTTCACCCAGTAAAAATGCTCTTGATTGAGGGCAGGGTATTTTGACATGAATCCAAGAAAATATGACTTTTGTACCTCATAAATCAGCCCAACCAATCTATTCAAAAGATCCTACATCTATCACCAGAAAATACTGCTAAAAGATCATCTCAACAGAAACTAGGAACTTGTTTTAGATTGACCACTGAAAATGAAATTTTCTGCAAAAAAGTAAATAAAACTTTGACATTCTTAAAAAGACATCCAAAAAATATTGATTATACAGCAATAATAAGGCATTTATGTGTCTGGGATTTTACTGCTAGTACATTAGCGTTAGCTTCTGTAACCAGATAGCTTACAGAATTTCTACACCACCGTTAACTAACACATTACATTTGAAGCAATTACTACAGCACACATGCAGGCTAACGAGGGAGAAAAAGCCACAAAGCTTGTCACATAGGACAGCTGAGCAAAGAAGAGTGTTGTGGCACTTTCAAAGTATTTAAATGATGATTCATTTATTGAAACAAAACAGCTGGCTTCTGTTTTGCTCTGTTCATTAGGAAGCATATGTTACTTAGGAATTCTTAAGACCTCAATGATGAGAAATTTGATTCTGTAAAACAGGTGTATTTCAAACTCTAAGGACCTTTTCTATTGCTCAAAATCTTTTCTAATTGCTTCAGAATCCTAAGTGGCATTAGAAAAAGCCGGTGGCATAACTGTTCCCTCCTCCCACTCAGAGAAATAACCTAAAAGAGTCCATAGGGAACTTGATACAGTACCTGATATAAATGTACAGATGAAATGATTTGTAAGAATTCTAATTAATGGGAGAAGGACTCTGCCAATAAATAATGCACAAAATAAACTGAAAGACAAGCACAGCCCTTGCTGGGAGAATGAAGTCACCTCTCTCTATACGTACGTACTCAGTGGTTAGTATCTGTTCTGAATCAATACATTTGTTTTTTAAATTATAATGCTGTTCATGGGTCACCATAATAAGAATTTAAACCTCCTTCAAGCTGCCCTCGAAGATCTTTCCTTGCACCTTTTGTGGACCCGGGTAATTCTGAACCCCAGCTGCTCATTGGAATCGTTTGAAGAGCTCTTAGAAAATGCCAGTGCTCAGGCCTCACACCCAGAGACTCTGATTGGGCCTGGAACCCATGTCTCTGGTTGATCCGGGGTCGGGTCCATATCGCTGTTATCTCAAACAGCTTCAGATGATTCTAAGAGGCAGCCAGGACTGGGAACCATTGAGTGGTAGAAAGAACGGTGGCTCTGGGGTCAAAATTGTACCATTAACAGCTGTGTCTCCTTGGGAAAATCACTTCATTTCTCTTGAGCATCAGTTCCCTTGTCTGTAAAATGGGCATAACTGTGTCTACACAGACTTGATGGCAAGACTGAAATCAAATGAGATGAGACGAACGTACCAAGAAGCACAATGGCTGACACATATGAAGCCTACACTACAGACTTGTTGCTTTCTAGTCATCCACTCCAAACTTTCTTCTCGTGAAGTCTCACTTCTCTCTCTTTGGTATTCATCACTGTTGCCATCCTTAACACCTGGTCTTATTCATCTTTGTGCCTCCCAGCACGGTTTTGACAGAGGGACTCAATTTACATAGTTGAACAAAATATTTCATCAGAAGTACAATCAACCTATAAGTGACTTGTTTTTGCTGTATAATATATCACTTCTCAGCTGACCATTTGGATCCCAGAATGACAATGAAGCCCCCAAGTGAACACAAACAGCAGGAGAATCTACACACAAGTCACTCCTGGCTTAGCACCCTCGCCCTATCTCAAGAGCTCTCAGACACCAGGAAGAGCACCACTGAACACTAGTGCCTATTAATGGTGGATGGCCGACGAGACCATGGCAGCCACGGGACCAGTCTGCCAGTGTGGAAATGATGACCTCCGCTCTGTAGTTTTCCTGAGACTGGCAGCACGTGGTGTAGGAATAATGTATTTGTAATGTATTCATTTATTTGACAGATAAAGGAGAACTGCTCCTTTATCTAGACAGGGGAATAAGGTGGCAGAATATTTAGGGACTCCTAAGGAATTAGCAGGTATCTTTCGGGGCCGACTGTCAGAAGGAAAAGATGTAGCCTCAACAACACAGGCCTTTCAAATATCATTGAAAGTGTCAAATTAAAGGACAGCCATTCCTGAAGCTGAGTAAATTCTTCACTTGTCTTGCAGCTCATACCCACAGTGATAAATCACTGAACATTCAGTTTAAGTATGAAAAACAACTCGTGTGTCTAAAATTCAGATATGAAATGCTTTTGTTTGCAGAATTTTATATGAGGGAATAGGTGCCTAAGATTTCCTCTAAATCCACCCTTACCCACGTACCACTCAGAGAGATGGACCAATGCCTCTATTAGGTCATTTTTCTACATTTCAAAGGAGACTTGTTTACATGGGTTCAAACATACAACAGCTATGAATGTAATTATTGTCCATCCTTTACAATCCCCTGCTCTTTCCCTTTGGTATCAGGCAGATGTGATTTTTTTTTTTTTTAAAGATTTCATTCATTTATTTGACAGAGATCACAAGTAGGCAGAGATGCAGGCGGAGAGAGAGAGAAGAGGAAGCAGGCTCCCTGCCGAGCAGAGAGCCCAATGCGGGGCTTGATCCCAGGACCCTGAGATCATGACCTGAGCCTAAGGCAGAGGCTTAACCCACTGAGCCATCCAGGTGCCCCCAGATGTGATTTTTATATTAATCTCTAGACCCCTTTCCCTGAGTTCTCCTTTTTATTTTGCAGATCAGTACAACTACCAGGCATATTTTTCCTTCACACCTATTTAGGTATTTATTTGAGAGAGAGATCGAGATCACAATTAGGGGTGGAGGGGCAGAAGGAAGGGGAGAAGCAGATTCCCCACTGAGCAGGAAGCCAGATGTCAGGGTCCATCCCAGGACCCTGGGATAATGACCTGAGCCAAAGGCAGACGCTTCACCGACTGAGCCACCCAGGCGCCCCTACGTTGGGGATTTTAATACCAGAAGAGTAAAAGGAAGGCCACTGTGTACACCCTAACACTCAGACAAGGCTAGTTGTTTATTTTCTTTCTAAAACCAACAGCAATTGGCTTTTTAAATATAACCATCAATTTCTCCCTCTTCTTACTTTGGATAGAATTGATCATATGTAGAAAAAAATGATTTCTGCTACAGTTGTAGTAAGTATAAGACAGATGATAGTACACTAGATGTTTAGACGGTAGAAGGAAGGTGAAGTGCTTATATTAATAAAATTAATTTTACAAAATATATTCCACAAATATAAGGATCCAGAAGAATCCTTTGAAAACTACAGCCTTGTTTATCAGTTACATATGACAAGTTCCATCTTCTTCTAGTGTAAAGTCACAAGATATTGATTTTGATAGCAATGTGGAAATAAGCCAACATTTTTAGGATTGTAATAAATTTTTACTTGAAGTACTTTGGGTCAACTGTTTTTCGAGGCTTCAAAATAAACAGATAAACACATTCATAGAAGGGGACAGAAATGTAGATATGCACTGCAGCCTTGTTTATAATAAAGAAAAGCTAGAGACAACCCAAATGCCCATCAATGGGGCTTGGATAAACCCTAATATGTGAACATTATAGGGTGCTATCCAGTGGTTACGATGAGGGGATAGATCTCCGTGTATCAATACAAGGGATATTAAAAACAATCTTGAGTGGAAAAAAGCAAGTTATAGGACAGAATATATAAAATAAAGCTATTTATGGAATTTGTTTTAAATATTCCAAATAATGTATTGTTGATGATTACATATATGCAGTAAAAGTGAAAAAATACAGACTGAATTTATAAATACTACATTTAAGAGAGTGGCTCCCTCTGGGACAGAAATAAAGGGGAAAATACAGGAAATATCTTCTTTGTAAATGTATTTTTTTTCATTTTGGGTGCCTGGTACACAGAGGTTTGCCATATTCTGCTTTATGTTTTCTGTAGTTTTTTTTTTTTTTTCCAAAGTAAAAAATATACAAGCTATTGTGTGAGAAAGGTAATGCCCAGAAATGCAATGGTGAACATCATTTTGCAAAAATGCTTTTTGAGGTTGGAATAAACCCAACATATCTAACGTCTAGTGGTAGTGTTTACTTTAACCCTCAAGTATTCAAGGATCTTGGTAGATACTAAAAGAAAGCACAATGCTGGGACTCCTCCAAAGTCTGATTTAGTGATCTACTTCCTTTCTGTAGTATTATTTCTAAATTGTATTTTCTGAAAACACTTTTTATATGTCACATACAAACCCCTCTTCAAGATCTCTGACCAGAATGTCTTAGCCATTCCTAAACTGTTGTTACCACATCAACGAGAATGCCTTCTTTGTCCACAGCCAGTCATTTAAGTGATCACATAAATGCTGGCAACAGCTGAGAGACTCACTTTTCTTCCTATGGCTCTCCCACTCCTTCACCTCCCCCACCTAAAAAAAGAAAGAAGTGTCTTGAGTTCACAGGCGTCTGGATTATTGTGACAGTTCAACAATCTCAAGTCTTTAAGAAAAGAGGAGGGTGAGCGCCTGGGTGGCTCAGTTGGTTAAACAATCTCGTGTCTTTAAGGTCTTTTGTAAAACAAGACACAATTGTAATTTTTTCTTCTCTGGACATCTTTTCTTGAAAAATAATTTTCGTCTCACATTAATTTTAAATATCATGACACATATAATGGATTTCTGAGAGAGTGGAAGGCATTGCAGAGTGCTGACAAATACATTATTATGCTAACAGTCTAACTAGTTTTACATTGTCTCTTGGATGATAGTAGATCAATTCCACCGTGGGTAGGAACACAAGCCATCGTGCTCTGAAGCAGACAGTCACAACAGTACTCATCTGACCTCATGCAAAATCTCTCTTCTGCTTTTTCTCAAAAGGGTGAAACTGGACAACCAGGATTCCCAGGGTCCATTGGCCCTAAAGGTCAAAAAGGAGAATCGGTAAGTATGAAAGCTTTTAGGACAAAGGAAGAATATTTTTTAAAAAATAGAATTAAAAGTATTTTTCCAAATCAGTTCTAATTCCATGAGCCTTATTTACCAACTCCTGCCTTGGCAAACAACCACAGATCAGATATTTGAGCAAGTTCTTTATGCAAGGCATGAGATCACTTAGTCTATTTTTTTTAAAAATGAGATAGGTAGGCTGTCATCACCCCTATTCTTCACAGGAGGCAACTGAGGCCCAGAGAGGTTAACTAAGTTGCTCTAGGCCACACAGCCAATTAACCAGAGAGGTTAACTAAGTTGCTCTAGGCCACACAGCCAATTAACCAGAGAGGTTAACTTAGTTGCTGTAGGTGACACAGCCAGTTAGAGCTATGGGGATTCTAGTACACAGGGTCTAAAAATTACGAAACCACCCTGCTATAACTAAACATTGTGGCTAAAATAAATAATAAAGTCAATATATCAAAGACTGTGGCTAATATATCCAAAAATTAGAAAGGTGTATCTGCTTTCAGTATATTTTCTGAATTTTTTTCCTTCCTTGGTTTTTATGAGATCAAACTAGCTTCTCAAGCCACTTTTTAATATTACTGAGGCCACTTTCTTTCAAGGCGTAGTTCTTGTGGTAGGAGAAAACCTAAATCATCATTTATACTCAAATCAGACCACCTAAAGAAATCACATGAATCCTAGTTAAAAATAACTTTATTTAGCCCTGCTAAAAAACAAAAACAACCTACAGCAGCCCGTAAGAATCAGCCAGAATTAGACTTAATGTTTTATCTTTATTCAAAAGTGTAATACTTTTTAAAAATCACTTTTCCCTTTTTGCTTGCCAGGGGGAACAAAGGACATTGGTTTAGCAGGGGTGGTGAATGCAGAGGTCACGAAAATGCCTGTGTGCCAAACGGGAACAGTAGAAGCAGCACTTGATATTAAAAAGCCAATATCTCCCTGTGCTTCTGCTTTAAAAATTAGGCTTGTTGGGCAAGGAGAATAATTTTGCAGGCAGAGGCAGACTCAGGGCTGTCACCTGAGTTCTCCAAGTTGTCCTGCTTTCATGCTCACTCACCTTTAGTGTCTAGTCCAAGCTTCCGTTTCCACCTGCAGCACGTGACGGTCTTTAACAGGGCTTCCCGACTTCGTATTTCCAAGGATGCCTGAGAAACTCCCATTCCACAAATCCAGCCCGGTGGTTGCTGCCCCTTCCAGCTGCCTAATTACTCCTGATACGCCTCATTTGTTGGCAACTCTTACCATTGCCTCGCTGCTTCTCTAGGTCTACACTGTCTCCCCTCCAAGCTTGAACATTGGCTCTCACCTCTTTTTTTTTTTTTTTTTAAGATTTTATTTATTTATTTGACAGACGGAGATCACAAGCAGGCAGAGAGGCAGGCAGAGAGAGAGGAGGAAGCAGGCTTCCCACAGAGCAGAGAGCCCGATGCCGGGCTCGATCCCAGGATACTGGGATCGTGACCCGAGCTGAAGGCAGAGGCTTTAACCCACTGAGCCACCCAGGCGCCCCTGGCTCTCACCTCTTAAACTACATGGGACACAGGGCAGACCCAGACTGCGCACTGTCATAAATCCAACTACCGGAAAGACAGGAAGAGCAGAAAAGGGGAGCTTCCAGTGGTTTAAGAGCAGTGCTTCCCAAATGCAGAACATGCACTTGGCTCACCTGGGGCTCTTTTGAAATGCAGGGTCTCATTGGATAGGGCTGGTGTGGGGCTGAGAGGCCGCACTTCTCACTGGTTCCCAGGTTATGCTCGTGCTGTTGGTCCAGGGCTCACGCTCTGAGAAGCAGAGGCTGGAGGATCTCACAGCTCTTAGGAAATCACTCTGGATTTCTCTCCCACTGCAGGTGTCTGGGGGCATCTCACCTACCTCCCTGAAGTTATCTTTAGCCCCACCTGCCTTACCCAGGAGAAGCAGACTGCTTTTCCTTTTACCTTTTCTGCTTGCCAAGTCCCTCTTAATCCTTTAATGATTCCATGTCCCTTATTCAGTAGTCCACCTTGTGCAAGGGGGATAAATTCAAAGACCTCCAGTGGATGCCTGAAACTGCCAACGGTACCAAACCCTGTACAGATGACCCTGAACAACGTGGGAGTTAGGGCATCAACTCCCAGTGCAGTCGAAAATCCACATAAAGCTTTTGACTCCCCCAGACTTAATTACTAATAGCCTACTGTTGACCAGAAGCCTCACCGATAACCCACAGTTGATTAACACATATTTTGTATGTTATATGTAATATATACTGGATTCTTACAATAAAGTAAGCGAGAGAAAAGAAATGTTACAAATAAAATCATTAAGAAAAACACCGTTTTACCATACTGTACTGTAAAAAATCCACATGTAAGTGAACCATGCAGTTCCAACCTATGTTGTTCAAGGGTCAAGTGTATATACTAGGTTTTCTCATATGCATACAGACCTATGAGGAAGTTTATTTTATCAACTAGGCACAGTATGAGATTATCAACAATAATAATAAAATTATAATGATATACTGTAACAAACTTTATGTATTATCTGTCTCAGAATATCTTGTACTGTACTCACCCTTCTTGTGATGATGTGAGATGATAAAATGCCTGCGTGATGGGATGAGGGGAGGTGAATGACGTAGGCCTGGTGACATAGCATCAGATGACTACTGACCTGATGATTTGTCGGAAGGAGGGTCATCTGCTTTCAGACTGCTGCTGTTGGTAACAAATCATGGAAAGTGCAGTCACAGAAAAGGGGGGAACTACTGTGCATCTCTGCCTGCCTTCCTCTCTGCCCCCCACATAAGAGAAACATTTTCTTTACATTATTGTACAGAGCAGTTTAGCGCTTTGTGGTCTCAACCTTTCTATTCCACGACAGAATCTGGATGTGACATGGTAAGATAACCAGAAGGCCCAAAAAGAGGGATAGTTTTTATCCAATTTGAATTCTGAACTACTTATGTTGAATGGCAGTTTTTCCCCCAGTACTGGACATTTAGATATGACTACGTGTGCCACATATTAGAGCTTAGAGTTATGGATGAGTTTACAGATAGAGAAAGAGAGGTGACCAGATAGTAGTCATTGGAGCAAGGACTAAATATCAAGTCTTCAGACAATAAGGATCCTGGTTTGGTTTGTTTTTTTTTGTTATTGTTGTTGTTTTGTTTTGTTTTGTTTTTACTTTAATCATGTGGCTTCGCAGTGGCTCTAAATAACCATGATATAATATCATGCTTATATAATATATAATATATGTAATCATACAATATAAGCAGTGCAACATAAGCAAAAATAAACAGTTATATAAGCAATGTGTCCCATTGCTCATATCTAAACAACATCATATCTTCTCTTCAAAATCAAGTAGAATTTTTTGAATTAAGGCTGAAAGTCAAGATTATAAATAAAGCCCTGATCTAATGTTTAGCAATTAACCAACAAAAGAGATTTAGTCACATTGGCTAGATACAGGACATAATAGAGGAGGCTAAGTTGTGCTAGGTAACAAATTAACCCTGAATTTTCTGTGGCTTAATGCAAGAAAGGCTTTCTCTTGCTCATGCTGCGTGTCCAGCGTGGTTGGGTCAGGAGTGGATGCTGACATCCACTGCACTCAGGTACCAGGCTGATTACCACCAGGTAACGAAGCTTCTGGAATACATAAACCCTCTCCATCACCATGCAGGGAAAGGGGGACTGGAGAATCATGAATGGGCTTCTCCTTGCCTCAGCCTGCAAGGAATACATGTCACTTCTGCTCACGTGTCATTGCCAAAACTAGCCAGATGGCCCCAGAAAACAGCAAGGGCACGGGGAAATGTGGGAGAAGAGAGCTGAGCCCTGAATCCCTAGCATACAGGACATGAAGTGAAAACCACAGGGATCCACTTACCTCCCATTAGCGATTTGTTTAGGGGACTCACAGTCCCTAAGGGGACCTTTAAGAAGAGTATTATCTACCGTCTGGTTCTCATACTTTCTCTTGACTTCCCTATGCAAAAGAAAAAAAATTTTTAAATAAACGGCTTCCATCTTATTTTCAATTCACTCAATTCAAATCAAAAGTAAATCAAATTACATATCAAATCATACTGAACAGCCAAAGCCCAAGACTGAAGTCAGGCTATCTAGGTTTAAATCCTGAGTGACCTCCCACTGGCTATATGACCTGGGGGAATCATTTAACTTCTCTGTGCCTCAGTTTCCTCATCCGGAAATGGGTGTCTAGTCATATGTACTCCAGTGACATATAAGAATTAAGTAGAACTATGATTAGATCAGCGCTTGATTCATTATAAGGATTTAATGTGTATCAGCTATTATTGTTATATCTGCATAATTGAAATTCTCTAATTTAATAAGCTTTTACTGGGCACCGACAGAATACAGCAGAAATGCTGTGATAGTCAAGATGAATTATATCCCCACATTCACAGAGTTTATAGGCAAGATAAACAAGGAGATATAAAGTGTATGAGTGATATTTTAGGGAAAATAACTCACAGTTACTCAGAACTTTTTGAATCTCTTTCCTCATGCTGAAAATGGGACCATATCTTCTTCACAGCATTGTTGTGAAGAGTAAATGAAATCGTGCCCATGTATCTTCAAGAAGAGAAGCGTGTGTGTGTGTGTGTGTGTGTGTGTGAGAGAGAGAGAGAGAGAGAGAGAGATCATCTCCGTGAACCATGCAAGAGAAAGCTTTGGCCTTGGGCAGTATTCCAATTTGTTCCACTCAGGATTCTTGAAATAGTATTAACATGATTAACGTATTGTTCACTAGGGGATATGAAAGAGTTTTTTAGTTAATTCTCAGATGCTTCCTTTAAACTGTGCAAGCAGACTGTGTGACATTCTGAGTCATTTTAGAGGCTGCTTTGTGACAGAGGTCTGATTTTGGCCTGCAGGATTTATCTATATCCAGTTTTGGAGAGTTTCTTTCTCAAAGTGTTCATAATTGACTCTGTTTTCTGCCCATTTTCCTAGGGAGAACCTCTTACTAAAGGTGAAAAGGGAGATAGAGTAAGTAGATGTTTTATCGCTATCTCGGGTTTTCTACTCCATTGATTTCTATCTCTCTGATTTCTCAAATGTTTACTTTGGAGTCTAATAGGTTTGATAAAATAAGCTCTCTGAGCATTTTACTTTTTCCTCTGTGAATTTTGACTTATTTTAATAAATGAGAAATTTTAAACCTTGTTAAGTTTCATCATGTGATGACCGCTTTGCCATTTGGCTTAAGTATTGAATATATTTTCTTTAACCATTACTACCTGTGATTGGATGTAAATATTTTGAAAGATGTACACTTATAATGTCTAAAATACAAAATAAAAATGCAAGATACAGTTTTTTCAAAAATTTGTTAATGATACAGATTTTATTTATCAAACAAGATGATTTTATCAAAAGGTTCAATAATAAGTCATGGAAATAAGAAAAGCAAACTCATAGTAGCCAATATTGTCCTCTTTTGTGTAACCTTAATTTTTTTCTGGTTTTTTTTTCATTAAGTACCTATACCCAATGGTATAATCATCATAATATTAACTTAAATTTCAATCTTTCTTTTCCCCCTTCATCTGAGGTTTTAATCCTCTGAGATATAAGATTAGCTGGTGGCAAGTCATGAAAATGTCATCTAAGTGGAGAATGCAGTGATTGCTAATGAAATATGGTGATTTTAGAGTCAAAGTGATACTGGGGGAAAAAAACTGTTTTAAAAGGAAATCCTGAAACCAACATTACACTATATGTTAACTAACTTGAATTTAAATGAAAGAAAGAAAATAAGGAGCTATTGTTCACATCTTAGCAATCAATATTTTTTAAAGATTTTATTTATTTCTTTGACAGAGAGAGAAAGATCACAAGTAGGCAGAGAGGCAGGCAGAGAGAGAGGGGGAAGCAGGCTCCCTATTGAGCAGAGAGCCCAGTGTGGGGTTCAATCCCAGGACCCTGAGATCATGACCTGAGCCGAGGGCAGAGGCTTAACACACTGAGCCACCCAGGCACCCCAGCAATAAATATTTTAAATCATGTTTTAGAATGACCTTTCCTTGATTTCATCATGTCATCCATAATTCCCCTAGATTATGTTACTTAGTAGAAATGCAGGTGAATTCAAGTATTAGAGATACTCATCCCCGTATAAGTTTAAACATTACATAAATGGTGATTTTTTTTTTACAGGGAGAACCTGGGCTAATGGGATCACAGGGACTAAAGGTAATCTCCTGCCCTTCTTCATTGCATCTCCAACCTAATAAGATATTGAAGATTAAAGTAACCATTTCACTTTCCTTCCCACCCATGTGTTCAGGGTGAACCTGGAGACCCTGGTCCCCCCGGTTTAATAGGAAGCCCAGGACTAAAGGTATATGAGAAGTAAATGAGACAAAAGAAGAAATAATTTTGGAGTCATAGCCATTTCTGTGTAAAACAAAGGGCTCTGCTATGCTACCCTTTTTCTTCAAAAATGTTCACAGGAACATTATCATGTTTCCATGACGATTTCCCCCTATTGGCTGCATTTATTACATGCAGAGTATTGTGACTTTTGGTTCACAGTAGGCTTTTTAAACTCTTTTTCAAAGAATATCCACAATATCATCCCTAAAAGCTTTAAGAGTAAAGAACGTGAGCAAAACCTATGACCTTGAACTATATATTTTTTTTAAGATTTTTTATTTATTTATTTGACAGAGATCACAAGTAGGCAGAGAGGCAGGCAGAGAGAGAGGAGGAAGCAGGCTCCCCGCAAGTGAATGGGAGTCAAGATTCAATCTCTTAGCCAGACTTATGCAGATGCTTGAGGTCCCCAGTGTGAGATTCTGTAGGAGTGTCCCATGAAAAACCAGCCGTCAGGAGGCGTGGGAAAGACTAATGTGATGCATTCCTACCAATGGGTAAGGCAGGTTATTCCGGTCTTGCTTGCTGGTGGGGAAAAACCCATTTAAAGGACAACATGATCAAACTATCTTTATAAGCCCAAAGCACATTTCAGAATTATTCAGAAAAGATAGGATGATAGAAAGCCTGTCTTTCTACAGATAAGGTCACACCATGTTTTACATATATTCGGCTACAATCTATTTTTTAACAGAGTTGAAAGACATATCACCTTCTCTTTTAGGGTCCACAAGGACCTGCAGGCTCTATGGGACCCAGAGGACCACCAGGAGATATTGTATGTATAGCAAATACAGGTGTCTTTGATATGTGGAAATTAAATTTATGTCTTAAAGAATGTCCACATCTTTTCATGTGACTGAGTTATATTACCTTTTCCAAAGACATGGGTCATCTCTACTATCAAAACCAATCACACATGATGTCAGAGGCTATTAGAAAGGCTAGTACCTTCCTATATTCATATGAGGTCCTTTTGAATATCATTAGCCTAATAAATCAGTCTTTGGAAGTCAAATTAACTAAGTTATCATTTTGCACAGGCTTGTCCGTGTTGCACCACCGGTAACAGAGACTGGAAACATCAAAAGAAAGAGGGAAAACTAAGACAGAACACAAGCATTTTCATTATGCATGGCCATCCAAACAAACACTTCTTAAGCTTCTGTTGTTGATTTCTTGCAAGAGCCTCTAAAAAGAGCAAGTCTTTTGGCTAAAAAGATTTCTCTAATGCCATTGGAGAAGAGTCCTCAGGTTGCATTATAAGCTAATTCTAGTGGTCTCATTATTCTGTCTCTGTCTGGCTCTCTCTTTCTCTCTCTCTCATGTCCTTCAAATATATTTTTCTATCCATTCCCCCAGCTAAGCCTTTTGTTCCTTTGACAACCTCCCTAGCCTGGCCTTCTGACAATTTGGGAGTTAAGACTCACCATCATCCTCACTTGAGCAAATTAAGAGAAATGATTGGCCATAACTTCTTGGAAACCGATCTCTATCTGGTCACAATTCCAGCACTTTCTATGCAACTCTTAGAATCTCCCCTTTTCTCATCATCTTGGGAATAGCCCCATGACCTCCATGCTTCCTGACTGAGTCTCCAGAGGTCTCCTTTTCAGTGCATTTGTTCTCCTTGGCCCTTTGAACACTCAGTTTGTAAGCAAAGCTTTTTGTTGCTCCCCCAAGCCATTTAATGAGCCAGCAGAGGTGTACCTCATGGAGAAATGTTATGAAAAGGGAGAAAGCACTGATGACACAGGTGGAGACATAAGTTGTCCAAGAAGTGCGATTAGGTGATAGTGGCTGGAGCTGAGGAAGAGAAGAACATCAAAAGGGAAAGAGCCACTGTTGCCATGCATAGTAAAAATGTGTTTTATTATTTTTCCCATCGTCCTTCTAAATCATGATGTGATGCTACCAACCACCATCCTTCCACCTTTCCTTGGCAGAAATAAAGGATGGGGCATTTGGTTCAATTCTCCCTTATTTGGTTTCTTCTCCATTACATCCAGGTCACTTCACTTGAAACAAGCCACATATTTTCACTAATGCGTTTTCCTCTTTAACACGCCCAAATCAGCCCATCCCCTCATAGTTTGTGTCTTACCGTTCTGTTCTCCAGACAAAGACTCACCGATAGAATTGTTCTTACAATAAGAGATATGCTAATTGTTCTTTCCCATTAATTCTGAAATTTCTAGGGATTGCCAGGAGAACATGGTATCCCAGGAAAGCAAGGCATTAAAGGAGAAAAGGTATAACTTCCATTTTACCAATTTTGTAAATTAAGCAGCTTGGTAGGAGGAAGAGACAGAGGGTCATAAGGGCTTTGGAAGAGTGAAGGGATAAAGACAAGGCTGCCAGGACTGTGCAGGGGCTAGACAGACATAGAAATGAAGGCATGAATGATGCCCCCTGGAGTTGTGCTTTATGACAGCTCTCATTTTGACACAGAAACACAATGTGACGAAATGAACAGACTTAGAGATGAAGACCTCAGGACTCAGAAAGTCTGTTTCAAGCTCATCAGCCAACTCTAGAGTAGATCTAGGGGGTCCCGGTCTTTCAGGACCCATTTCTTATTGTCTTATACATGGAAATAGTAGGTTAATGTTGAACCTTTACTTGGAAATAACTTAAAGAAAACATAAAGACATCTAAAGTTCTGAATAGAGGCCCTTTTTATGCATATGTTTATATACATGCATATGGCATGATACTGCTAAGCTTATTGTCACATAACTTGCCATAAAATAGAAATGCATTTAAGATGACTAGAACAGTGCCTGGCATGAATGAGGCCCTCAGTACATATTACTGAACAAGTGAATGAATGAGAAAATGAAGTTTGGCCATGATGACAAGTCAAAGCACTGGAAATGGAAACTACTGCCCCCACACCTCCTGCCCAAACCTGAGCAATAAAGAATCTTACCTTGTTTTCCTCAGGGAGATCCAGGTGGAATTATAGGCCCTCCTGGGCTTCCAGGTCCAAAAGGTGAGGCTGGTCCTCCAGGGAAAAGCCTACCGGGGGAACCGGTAAGTACCAGCCCTTTTCTTCCTTGCAAGTTCATTAATTACCACTTGGGTGTTCCCAGTTTCAGATCACAAGTAAAGGAATAAGTTGAGGACTGCAGAAAAAGAAATATTCGTCTTGTTCTTTAGGTCAGAGCTCTAACCTCTGAAAATTTGGTGCAGCTGAAGGGCTTTCTTCTGAAAATAAAATGCACATACCCATTTTACATGAAGTTTTGAAAGATTCATAGACCCCCCTGAATCTTCTGCATGAGTCCTTTAGGGATCCAAGGAGCTAGTAAGATACACTAGTTTAAATCATAAGGCTTCCTAGGACACTATTCTAAAACAGAACAGCCTGAAATTTTCTTTCCAGAGGCTCTGCAGGGAAAGCCATTCATGGTCATTTGCAGAAAATGTCCTTGTGGCCCAAGCAATTTCCAGGCCATAGAAGAACTGGAGAGCTGGGAAATCTAAGTAACCAATATGCCATTTCACATAATCTTTTTTCTCATCCTCCTTGACTTTTCATATGAATTGTTGAAAATAAATAGTTCTCATTCTCAGATGCCTCATTTTAAAGATTAAAATATCTTTTTTATTATTAAGATTTTATTTTAATTCCAGTACCTGCAGTGTTATATTAGTTTCAAGTATACAATATAGTGGTTCAACCATTCCATATATCACTCAGTGCTCATCAGGATAAGCATACTCTTATCCTCTTCACCTATTTCGCCCATCCCCCACCTCCCCTAAAAATGAAAGTATCTTATATTTTAAAGTAACTATACAAAATCTAAAACCTAGCAAAGTATGTATTCTCTGTTTCTTATTCTTTTACAGAAAAGCATTTATTCAAGAAGGATGAAGCAAAATGAAACATTTTTGAGTTATAACTTCTAAGATGCTTTTAAACTTTTTAGAAAAAAGAAATGTATTTACCTCCTTTTTTTTTTTTTTTCTTTTAGGGATTAGATGGAAATCCTGGAACCCCTGGTCCTCGTGGGCCAAAGGTATGAAAATATCATAGATAATTTCCAAAGACTTAATAAGAAAATCCAGCCTGGAATTTCATGTCCCCAGAGCCTCACACTAACAGAAGCCTCTGGTTGTATAGGGCGAGCGAGGACTGCCAGGCGTCCACGGTTCCCCAGGTGACAGAGGCCCCCCGGGGGTGGGGGTTCCTGGCCGAACAGTAAGTGAAATTCCATCAAGTTTTTGAAATCATGTCAATTCCGATAATCAAATAAAATCCAGTGACAAACCTGAATCAGGAGAAAGGAATGAAATGGTCAGAGAAGGAAACTAAAATAAGCATGAGTCAGAGGAAGACAAGTGATAAGCATTGAGGTTACATCGCTGAGCACAGGGGCAGTGCTGACTGTTTTCTGACTGACAGATGTCGGTCTCACAACGGCTTTGGAGTTAGAAGCAGTTATTTAACCCTTTATTTCTCTGTTCTATATATTAAAAAGTACAAATGAGTGTTTGTAAGATGATCCAAGTGCCTAAGATTAGGTTTTATATATTACTATTTGTTTTTAGTGAGAATAAAATTGAAAGTTGATATTATAAGTGAATGGAGCATGTCTAAACGAGATGATGTCAAAAATCTTTAAGTAATATCTTCAGGAAGAGAGACTAGAAGTCATTTATAAGAGGGAAGACAGAGCATGGGCAGTTTTGTAATGTGTTTTAGCTACGAGGACAGTGCCTGGTAACAATGGGCTCTGTATGCACACTTGTTGACTAAATAGTAATAGGAGAACTTTTTATTTACTATGATAAAAACATAAAGATTCTGTAACAAGAGAGGTGGAAAAAACACTAATTCTAACTGCATTACTTTGGGAAATCAGCCTTGTAATTAAGTTATCCTGAGAGCTCAAAGAAGGCATAGTGAATGGTTACATTGTGTGTGATTGATTCTCTGGGGCAAGAATGTAAAAGACCACTGGAGATGGGAGATTGAACACAGTAACAGAACAGATCAGGGAATGATTAAAGGAGTGAAGGTTGAAGCAAAAAATTTTAAACTTTATTAATAACTAAGGGCACATTATAAATAAAAAAAGGTGCAAAAAGTAGCTTTGACAGTAACAGTGATATGAATCTTTATTTTAAAAAATAAGACAGGAAATGTGGATGAGCAGTTGCTGAAGTCAGCTGCTGAGAACCCAGCCGTGTACTTCCCGAGGTTGTCAGCTCCTCCTTCCATGGTCTGTGCTTACGTGGCAGGGAGGAAGCCCTCAGCGTTAGATTCACTGATCATTTCCCAGCCTCATGTTGCTTGCCCCAAACTCCAATTTGCTAAAGTAGAAAAGAACGATAATTGATACCTTACTGCCTACTCCTGTAGGCAGAATCAGAACACTGGTTCTGGCAATTTCTTCAAACGGGGAAGTGACTCGAGGTAGAAAGCCAAAAGGAAAGCAAGTCCTGAGCCAGTCACCCTATCAGCAGCCACTTTATGAACACATAGAATTTGGGTGCACGGTATGGTCGTGAAGATACAGGGACAGATGATGGTACCGAGAGAGATAGCCTGGGCATCTGAGCAAAATCTTTCTGATGTTTCCAGCAACAGGCATCTGCTTAAATGTTTACCTGCCACCCAAAAGTCTTGGCTGACTTCACAGAGAGTTTTCAGGGGGTGCAAGGTTGCCAAGCCCTATTGTTCCATAAGTAAATTACAATACATAGCTCTTTATCCCACTTGGATAATTTATGACATTCTTAGAAGAATTCTGACTATTGGGTCTCATTCTACTCAGGGCTCCCAAGGACCAGCTGGAGAGCCAGGTATCCAGGTAAGCTGCTTAACCAAGTTATTTGGCACCACAAATCCAACTTGCTTACTTGGGGAAAATTACTGAAGAAACTGTCCCTGGAAGTAACTGTTTTCCCCCTCTTCCAGGGTCCTCGAGGTCTCCCTGGATTGCCAGGAACTCCAGGGACCCCAGGGAATGATGTAAGGACCGTCTTTACCTCCTCTTCCCCACCACCCCATTTTTTTTTTAAGATTTTATTTATTTATTTATTTAACAGACAGAGATCACAAGTAGGCAGAGAGTCAGGCAGAGAGAGAGAGAGAGGAGGAAGCAGGCTCCTTGCTTAACAGAGAGCCCAATGTGGGACTCTATCCCAGGACCCTGGGATCATGACCCGAGCCGAAGGCAGAGGCTTTAACCCACTGAGCCACCCAGGCCCCCTCCCACCACCCCATTTTAATCCACACCTGTGCCACTGTGAAAAGATTTGAACATGATGATTCTGTTTTCAGGGAGCTCCAGGAAGGGATGGAAAGCCAGGTCTGCCAGGCCCCCCAGGTGACCCGGTAAGTCAACAGACTATGCCTGATTTATGTATCTTTAATGCACCCAGAAGCCAAACAGCCTACCAAGCAACTTTTACTGTCCAAACTAATTAGAATGCTCAGTGACTGCTTGGTGATTTTGTTTATCCCCATTATTTTGTAGAGGGGAAAAATTTCAAGCTGCATCAGCATTTTTTTGTGTGTGTGATGAATACTTATTTCCTAAGGGTATAATTCAGCTGTACAATTTTGCCCCAGGCTGAGCCATGGCACATAATGTCTCAATCCCATGGAATACTGAGTTAAAATATATAGGCACAATTTCTGTTCTTTCTAATGCTACTGACTAAATGAATTTCACTTTTCTAAATGAAAGTTTGCAGGTAAGTTACCTACAATATGATACGTATCCATTGATTCTGCAGCTTTAAAACTCTGAGATGATTAAATTATAAAAACCGGCTTGAGTGGGCTCTTAAAAAATGGGTTTAGGCACTAAATGTGTGTTCCAGAGTTTTATTTCAGGATGAACCTGGCTTTGAGTGACAACGAAATCCCTTTAAATAGCCTCAGAATCGGCAGTTATAATTTGAGAGGCCATATGGTACATGACATTGTATTAAGAGTTTTGTATGATAAAATCCAAATCTGGCCTCTCAGTTCTTAAGTCTCACAAATCCTTCTCCCTCCCACACTGGTTGGGCCTTATGTGCCTTTATATGCTACGTGCAGAGGCATATTTTGGCCTGAGTTTAACTTCACTGCCAAGTGAATCATATGTGTGCATCATCTAGGATTCTTATAAAGTGTTACTTGGGTTTCCGGCATCTCTCCGAAAGGACATTTTAAGACATGAGTCTCAAACACCGCCTGAGTTCCCTCAGCGCCTCTCTTGCGAATCACGGAAGTCACCTGTTGGCCCTTTTGAACTTCAGTGAGAAAGAATATTAAGGCAGACTCATTCTAGACTTTTCTTTGGCCTGATAATTTGCTTGGCAGGGTGGTGACATCCTTTTATTAAATGATTCACTTCCATGTATTATTTAAAGCCAAGAATATTTGAGGGTTGTTAGAAAGGCTACCATGTCATGAAAGCATAAAATAGAGATACAGACTACAAACCACAATATGGGTATCTTTACATGTTCATTGTAGAGGAATAGTGAATACTTCTCAAATAAAATTAGGAGTCCTGTCAGTGTCATATGCCTATTTTGTGATCTGGAACATAAAGCCAGCCATTTTGACAGTGAGGCTCTTAGAAGCCTCATGACAAATCTCAACTAGCATGACACTTTGAGGAAAAACAGCTACATTAGATTGTATGTTTGTATTCTATTATGTGCATTTATGTGTATAAATACATGTATTTGGGTTTTTCTCCTTAAACACAGATTGCACTTCCTCTCTTGGGAGACATCGGTGTCTTGCTCAAGGTAATCTGTTGCTATATAAGAAACTGCCTGTTAATGTTTAGGAAAAATCAGAAAGGAAGTCTTTACCAGAAATTGAGTTAATTGCTTGGCCTGAGCAATTCAATTTTTTAAAAGGCAGAACATCTTTAAGATATAAAAAGGAACACATTTTTATATCTCTTGAGTCACTTGTACTAATCCCTCCAACTCTTCTTCTCTACCTCCTAGTCAGTTTGGGTGTAAGGGGTGGTGGGTGAAGGTAGTAGTTCTGAGATGAGCTACACGAAGGAGCAGTGTCATCAACACCCTTGAGTGTCCCCTTGAGGGACAGCTTTCACCTCATGGGTGTTTACGTCCTGGCTCGCTACTGTGAAACCTAATCCTTCTCACTTGGACCTACCCTCACCAGTCCCAGGATGAAAACCAATACAGCTCAATAGGGTGATAGCTTGCAGGGCCAAACTTTGATGTCATGGAGTTTTACAAAGTGAGTTATAAAGTTCCAAAGCCAACAACTGCCCTAACACCTGTTACTCTATTAAATAAAAACTATATCTATTATTCATCTCATAAGGAATAAACCTGGCTACCATTTTTGTCTCTAATACTGCCCTGTGTTTTATTTGTAATGCAGTTGTGGGAGAATGATAACGTGATACTGTAAAGTTATGTATTTGTAATATTTTTTCATGGCATGCCAAGACTGAGTGGACCCAGGTGAAAAGCTGTCCCTTCACATTATACTCAAACCTTATGTGTCCTGTCTGTATGTGAATGGACAGTGTATAGGAGTGCATACACACACACTTACACACACGTGCACTTTTTGTGTATAAAAGTGATCTGTTTTATGTTCCTAGCATTTAGCCCAGTGGTTTGTACAATGACTTACATAATAGTAGGCAGGAATATTTGCTGACTTAAATCCAAAGATTCAAGAATTCTGGTATAAGTACTTGCTAGAGGATTAAAAATTTGAGAACATATATATAAATATAAGTATGAATATCAATATAAAAATAAATTACAGGAGGTTTCTAAGACCTTCAAAAGTCAACATTTTCTTATAAGTCAAAAGAGAATATTTGTGGGAATTTTAGGAAGATCTTATATGCGTTGAGTTACAGTTCCGTGGAAGACAACACCCTGCTTTACTTACACCATCTCACTTAATCTTCACAGAAGTCCTGTAAATCTAGACTGTGATAGTATCCCCATTTTATATAGTAGAAACTGAAGTTCTGAGCAGCTAAGTAACTTCCTCAGAGTCACACAGCTAGTGAGCGCAACAGGAACACAGGAACCCAGGTCCTCATGCGTTGTCTGAGGTTCTTCCCAAGAGCAGCAGTGCTGGAAATGGCAGGACTCTAAGAGTTAAAGCTCACTATTCCAGAATAGTTAGGATCAAAACTTGCACACTTCAGCAGAAATGAATATTCCCAGAGGATATAGGGATGGTTTACAGAATAGACAAAAAGACCAAATTGGGCTCTGATAAGAACCAGGACTCCAAAGGCCTCAAAAGTGGCCATAATTAATAGTTCCACCAGGGCAGCATCCCTTTAATGAGGATCTGGGTCCCAGGAAGGCTGAGGTTAAGACACCTCAACTGAAAGTCCCATCAAACTGCATTCCATAGAAGAGGAAAGTTCGGAGTTCCCCAAAGCAAAGTCCAAATACAGGGACTTAGATTGGAGATTGGATCTGTTAGGTCAACCTAACGTAATTTTAAATTCTGATCCTATTACCCAATGCATTAAGTCTCCATCTCTGTCTAGAGTCTTTAGCACGCTTGGTCATCTGCTTTCTGTTTTCAAAAATATCTTTGGTTGGAATGTAGTAAAGAACTGACATAATTCCAGGTCCAAATGATACCCCTTCAGAGACCTCATGTGGGTTAATCTGTGTATCGGTCCCTCTTTGAATGAGACTGTACATTGGCTAATAATTGGTGCATTTTTATTCTCTCTGTAAGAAAATCTAAAGACTTTTTTCAAGACCTTCAATGAAATCATTTCCCTTGATTTACCATTCTGGCAACCCTAACCCAAAGAAAATGGGGTCTGTTTGAAATGACTCTGAGAAAATTTTAGTGACTCATAATGCTCACTGTTCTTTTGTATTTTATTAAAACAATCAATTGAATAATCCACTCTAAAATATTGCTGAGTGTTGATATACCAGGGTTTTGCTCTGTATTGATATGCCACATTTATTTGCTGCAGAAATAATTCATCTTCTCCATGATTTTTGGAATATAGAAAACTTCTTGGTTCTCATAACTTCTTGGCATCTCTCTCTCTTCATAGTTTTTCAGATATTATAAGTAATGGATCTACAATTATAAACATATTTCTTTTACTTCCTCTACCAACACATTAGCTCTGTGAAAAGATCCTGATGGCAAAATTTGTTCTGAGAGATGTTGCACACGCTAGGTCCCTTTTATATACACCAGCTCTAAGAATGGACCACCACGAAGAGAGAGCTCTTTAGTAATCCAGCGTTTTTTAGAGAAATTGCCTCAGAACCTTTTCAATAGTATACAGAATTAGTCTTCCAAGGAGGGTATTTTTGGAAATCAGACTTATTCTGGTATTCACTGAGCAAAAATACTGAGCTTCGTTAGCCATGAGCTTTCTTGCCAGCTTCTCATTAATGGCAAGTTTCTGTTCCCTTTTTACATTTCAAGATCCTTCCCTTTGGTGAAAAGAATGGAAGAAGAGAGGCTGATACTGTCCTACCCTCTGTCAACTGTTAAAATTAAACTATCTCCTCCAACCAGTGATCCCTATTCTGTGGCTTTCCTGATCATATTCTTGTTCTAACAATTTAAAAATAAGCCTTTTTAGGGCTTTTCACAAGCACTTTTTCTCTAGCAATGTGATAAGAAGTTTATCTTGTGAGCTCAGACACTTAAATTCAAGCCTTTCCAGATCAGCTAAAGGTTACAGAGAAGGCAATGGCAAGGTAATTCCACTTAGATTTCCTATCTGCGCTTGGATTTGACATAGAGTCAAGTCCAAGTCACTCAAATAATTATTTCTCACATGAGTGCTTCCACTGACAATGTTGGTAAACTGTGCGCAGGGTCCTGCAACTAATTTTGTTCTCAAAAGGAGAAATCCTTTCTTCACAGTTCTTTCTTTCTCTTTCTTTCCCTTTTTTCCTCCCTTCCTTCCTTCCTTGCTCCCTTCTCCCCTTCCCTCCTTCCTCTTTCTTCCTTTCTGTCTTCCTTCCTTTCTTTCTTTCTTCCCTCTTTAATGATTTATACTATTGGTTCTATGAGGTCTGTAATCTTGTTGGTTATCCTGAACTTGAGTACTGCCTCCCTTTTAAAACAGGCTGCTAAACAATTGAAGTAGTCTGTCTTCCTGACTTATGTGTCTTTTCTTTATATATTTGGAATTTCCCACTTACATAGCATCATGGATATGCTTTGTATTTAAAATCGTATTTATTTATTTATTTATTTTAGAGAGAGAGAGAGAAAGGGAGTACACACATGAGCAGGGGGTGGGGGAGGGAGACAGAAACAAGCAGACTCCCCACTGAGCAAGGAACCCTAGTGGGGCTCAATCCCAGGACCCTGAGATCGTGACTGAGCCAAAATCAGGAGCCGCATGGTCAACAGACTGAGCCACCTAGGCACCCGGACATGCTTTAAAAAAAAAAAAATAGAAGGTCACCAATATCATAAACAGATAAAATTGTCTAGCTTCATATGTAATTTTTACCTCACAAAAAGTAGTCTTTGCAAATTGGATAAGTTAAGTTTCTGAAAGTAGTGATGTATCCATTGCAGGATCGGTCTCTGACAAAGATTCAGATCTGATCAGACCTCACTTTTATAGACTGCTGTGATGAATCTCTCAGTAACCTTATCTCTGCTCATTAGAACTTCTGTGGCAACTGCCAAGCCAGTGTTCCCGGGCTGAAAAGCAACAAAGGAGAAGAAACTGGCGCTGGTGAGCCTGGAAAGTACGATTCCACAGCCCAGAAGGTGAGGAGGTGGGCTGGATGTTGATGGCCATGTAGTTTGCACCTAGTGCCTTCTCTCATTTCTGTACTGCTCCATCCTCTAGGGTGATACAGGCCCACGGGGTCCTCCAGGAATCCCAGGCAGGGAGGGACCAAAGGTAAGGCATTTTCTCCTCCACTCCCTGTGCTCCTTCCAATTCAGTGTGGAAAAAAAAAACAAAACCAATTTTAAAACACACTACTTTTTTATAAGAAATATTTTGGAAAAGGGGTGTAAAAAGTCATTTGCAAATGTCATTGTTTTTGTGCCCTGATTCTGTCCAAATTACATGTCCCAAGTGTACGAAGAAGAGGTGTTTTTGTTGTTCTAAAAGATGACAAAACGGATTCAGTATACTAGCTGAATTTCTTGTCGTTTTAGGGAAGCAAAGGAGAGCGGGGCTACCCGGGGATACCTGGAGAGAAAGGTGATGAGGTAAGACTCTTCTCTGGTAGTGTAGTGCTGCTGTTGACTCTCCTTGCAGGATGCAGAGGAAAAACATCAACTTGTTTGTAGCTCAAGTTTTTGTTGTTGTTGTTATTTTAAGATTTTATTTATTTATTTGACAGAGAGAGATCACAAGTAGGCAGAGAGTCAGGCAGAGAGAGGAAGAAGCAGGCTCCCCACTGAGCAGAGAGCCCCGATGCAGGGCTTGATCCCAGGACCCTGGGATCATGACCTGAGCCGAAGGCAGAGGCTTTAACCCACTGAGCCACCCCGGTGCCCCATAGCTCATGTTTAATGCCAAATCAAATAAAAACAAAGATTTAGGTAGGTTCTTTCAAATTCAAATTTCAACACAATTTAAATAATGATAATTGATGTTTATTATCAGTGGTTCAATTTTTGAGAGAAGGAAAATAAAGCACAGAGTTGACCCTCAGTTACTATGTTTTTGTTTTTATGTAGCAGACAGCAATTCCAACTCTCTCAAGATAAAAGCCAGGATGTACTGAAAGGAATCCCTAGGTAGTTAGTGGAACTGAAGGACAGTTGGACAACCTGCCTAGGGACAAGGGACAGCTCCAAAACTCAGCAGAACTTGCCTGGGATACTGCTGTAACATGATTCAACTTCAGTGACCTTGGTTTGTCTGTGTCTCTGCTCAACTTTCATACTCTTGGGAGAAAAACAAAACTATCAAAAGGATCCGATTCAACTAGTTTAGATCAGCTACTCATCCCTAGACTAAGGTTCAAAGACAAATGTACTTTGGAGACGATGTTATAATTTTCTGTCTCTAAGCCGTAGTGATGCTCAGGATATCATTCTTTTCCTGCATAATTTACCTTAACACTTAGAAAAACCAATTAGGATGATGAATTGTTGTTAGTTTAAACAGTTTTGATGCTAATAATTCTTAATGAAAGTAAGTAAGCCATCTGGCATATATTAACCTTGATGGTAGTACTGAAAATCATAACGGTGTGAAGTAGGTCTATTTTTTGAGTCAGTTACATTTCATGTTACAAATTGTCGCCATGTGTTAGTGTTTTTAATATTGATCCTATTCAAGAAAACTGAGAATTAGCTTGCTTTTTTCCAAATTAAAAGAAATACAACATTTATTTTCATTCATAAATAAAGCAGTAAGGGCATTTTATTTTCAAAATAAGAAATATTGAGCTTTTGCTTCTTTATGCTCCACAGGAAGTTTCACTAATGTAAAGCCCTATATCTGATTTTAATAGTCTAACAGCTTTTAACTGCCTAGATTCAAGGAGTAGGTGTTAGAGGCAATTGAGAAGGTAATAACAAAAAGATCAGGAAATAACAGGAATTCAGGTTTTTTACAAGTGACTCCAAGTTGAATTTATTAGAAGTTAATTTTGATTGATTCTACAAGATACTTTGCTCGCTTGGTTAACTGAAATGCATCATTATTATTATGCCACTATTTTAGTATGCTCTTTCTTGAGTATAGTAGACCCCTGTTACCTGTGGGGAATATGTTTTAAGACCCCCATGGATGCCCAAAACCGCAGAGAGTACCAAAACCTATACATGCTGTGGTTTTTTTTTCTGATACATATATACGTATGATTAAGCTTAACTTACAAATTAGGCACAGTAAGAGATTAACAATAATAACGAATAGTAAATCAGAATAATTATAACAACATACAATAATAAAAGTTGTGTGAATGTGGTCGTTTCCCTCCTTCTCTATCTTTTTGTACTATAGTCATCCTTCTTCTTGTGATGATGTGAAATGATAAAATGCCTGTATGATGTTAAGGGGAATGATGTAGGCATTTTTGACATGGTGTTAGGCTGCCATTGACCTTCTGGAGATAAGTCAGAGGGAGGTTCATGTGTTTCTAAACAGCAATCAACTGTGGGTAACTGAAACCATGGAAAGGCAAACTACTGTATACTTTTTGGATTATTTAACAGAGCACACACAAAATTTTGCATGAGACTCTTATTATATGGGAAATTATTATTATATTAATTATTATATGTAGCTAATTTCAGAAAGAGATTCTTTTCAGTTATTTCTTCACATCACATGAATTATATGAATAAGGCTAAGAAAGCATAGTAACTCAGACAGATAGAGAGTGATGAATATCATCTACTTGGGTAGACTCAATGAGTAGTATCTACTTGGACTCAGATACTAACTGAAATTATAATTTATTGACTTGTTTAGGTGAATGAAACTTTGACCAAGAACATGTACGTTTCTAACTGGCCAGTAAACTATACTATTTTTAATATGTATATAATATCTAGTTGTACAAAATGTCAGATATCTGTTCTAATCTTAGTAGAAAAGATACAGAGGGACACTCCATCTCTTTGAGGACTTCTAATTATTATGTCTTCATTTTAATCTGTTTGGGAACTTAGAGGAGCTGCCTATTTGCTCATTGCTCTGAGAAGTGACATTATCCTCTACATTTTTTGCAGGTGTTTCACAAATCAAAGTAGCAACTTATAAGACACTAATAGAGCACACTTACCTCTCACAGAGTGAATTCTTGCTTGGAAGGAATATGTTCCTACAATATTTCAGTGTAATAATTGATAAATAGGCCATGAAAAATATCGTTAACCATAAATTATAGCAATGGAAAAATAAATATTCTTTGGTAGCAACTGAGCTAGGACTTGCAAAACCAAAATATCTGTTCAGAGAAAGAACTTAGCTCTAATGATCCTTGAATATCTATGCAATAAATTCTATTTTGTATTTTAGTTTGGCACTATATGCTAAATTGACTGTCCTACTCTTTAATATGTATTTGTCTTCTTTAATGACCATCTTGTCTTCTAAAATTATCTTATTGCCCTTTATGCATCCATAGTAAGTTTTACCCTTACTACAAAATTTCAGCTTGTTCAGAGAAAGACTGCTGAGAATGATTTTTTTTTATTTATGGACTAAGGTTTATTTTAAAGTTTAATGTGGTCATCAAAGGTTAATGAATCCCAAGCTTATAAATTAAACTACCTAAAGACTCACTCAGCATCTCTAGACTGATACAGGAATGAAACTAAAAGTAGCAAAAAATAAAAAAAAGAATACATATGTACACCCATATCTTATACATGTACATATAGAGAGAATTTTATGGAAATGTGGGTATTTTGAGATAAAGCAATTTGTGGTATGGCATTTATAATCTCCAGACATTTAGAGGTGCCATTTGCAAAGGAAATTTGTTTCCTTTCAATCTTTAAACCCATAAATAAGTTAAGGGTAAGGGAGTAAAAGGAGAAAATGCAACATGCCAGTGTTTGCCAGCCACACATGTGTGCATACACGCACATGTGCACACACACAGCATTGTCAGTGAGGATTATATCATCCTGAAGAAAGAACATGTCCACATTCTTTAACACAAGCATACATAAGATCTTGCCCAAAGCTCTTATTTCATGAGGCATTTCAGCGTGTTCGAGGAGATTCTCTTCAGTGTTTCTTCACATCATATCACATGAGAAAACCTGAAGTAACATACCATCTCATTTGGCATGGATGGACAGGTCCGGCAGAGCTTGGTCCATGATCACACCGATGCAAAGAACCTTGATTCGAGAGAACCTTGGTCCTGTATAATTCTCATAAATAAACATGCAGTATTTTTACCATGGTCACTCCACCTAATATTTATAATGTGTCTAAAAATGCATATTTCATTACAGTAAAAGGCAGAGGAACTTTGTTATAACAATGAATGCTTTGGTAGTATAAAACATTACTCAGTAAAGAAAATTAGAACCTGAAAGAGTGGAATCATTCAGGCTAGACCTTGACACATCATATGGTTATCTGAAATAGCAAGAGTGTTTAAAAGCATAATATTTCTAATTATAGAAGTCATCTGAGTTTATTACAGAAAATTTGGGAAATGTACAAAAGTACTAAAAAGGTAAAAGTTATCCCTATTTGTACTGCTAAGGGAGGACTATTGGTAATGGTAATATTATGATTCACACCCCTCATCTATAATGCCAAAGCTCAGAAGCCTCTGAAAACCCTGGATATTTTTTCCAAATTTGCAGGAAATTTTTTTGGCAGCAGAATCTGACCTGAAATCATATGGAGCCAATCTATTTATCCCACATGATAAGAATATCATGTTTTGCTACAGAAATATTTGTGTGTTTATTAGAGGTTCCTGCCCCGAGCACCACTGGGAGTGTTCTGTAATATCTAGTGTGAGCAGTGTTATTTTTATAAAAAATCAGAAAATTCAGAATTCTGAAACACATCTGACATCAAAGTTTCCAGATTTGATACTTTGCACCTCTATCATTCTCATCTTTTATGTTCATTGGTAAATTTCTAATAATTTAAACATTACTCTAAACATTTTGTAACTATCAGTTTTCTATGTTAGCCAGTAGTTTGCTGAAACATGATTTTAATAGTTGCAAAATATTTTATATTCTTTTATGTAACTTATTTAACTAATATTCTGTTGTTGACACACTTGGTAAAAGAACAAAATTAATTACACAAGACACCAGTTAATCTTGCCAATTCTTCCTTGAATATATGAATATATCAGTATCTTAAACCCTATCCAGTATAATTAGCATTATTCTACAAATCCAAGAAAAAGGAGGAGGAGATATTCATTCACTTTTATGCTTAAGCCACTAAAGGATTCTAAATTTAAATTCACTGATGAGCCAAATTTCTTCTTATAATGAACCGTTCAGCTAAACTAGATATTGTATCATAAAACATATTCCATTTTCCCACTAGCTGAAGCATTGGTGTAATCATGTATTTCTTTGATGGCATTCTGCCAGTTTGAAATGTGTATGTCCGTGCGTTAGCAATGCCAGATTCTCAGTGATGCTCTTGTTGACGGGGTGGCTCTGTGAGCTCAGAAACGCTCTCTGAATCAACAAATGCATTAAATTATGTTTGTTGCAGATTCTATGTCATAGCATTTTAGCTCATCATCCTTACTCTTTGAAAATGGGCATTTGTATATCATATATATGTTTTCCAGCCAACATAGATGTTGGATTTCAATAGTCAAAATAGTTGATGAACTAAAATGCCTTGTTTCTAACCATGTAACAGCCTTATGATAGGAACTGTTTCTTCTAGGGCCTTCAAGGAATTCCAGGCCTTCCAGGTGCCCCAGGCCCCACTGGATCCCCTGTGAGTATTTGCTAAAGCTCTTCCACTCATGCTTCGTATCTGCTGGGATGAGGCTGGGTGAACTAAATGCCACATTGCCTCTTGTTCTCTGCCTCTACCTGTAGATTTTCCAGCTCTTGCCCAGAAAAGTAGCATCTTACGTCTCAGGTTTTCATTTAGTATTACTTTAACGCTCCTCAGGGTCATGGAGACTTGTCATCAGGATTTTACCAGACCAGAAAGCAGTCTATTTGAGTAGAAGTTAGATGTAAAGGAGCATTCTATGTTTCAGTTACACTTTTTTGGCATTAACCTTTGGAAGAGATATTCAGATGGTTACACCCTTACACTCTTAAGTACCATAAACTAAGAATATATTTTTTTAAAGGGGAAAAGTAGGCTAAGGATTATCATCTTCGATTTATTTTTATTCCTATTTATCCATTAAAATACCCTCTACTTTAATTAGCACATCTTTTTTTCACAGTCCCTCAAACATAACTTTGTGATCTTTGTGTCTTTGCTTATACTCTTTTCCTGAAACAATCTCTTTTCCTCTCTTAGCTGTTAAATCCAACCTGTTACTAACGTGGGGCTGTCAAGTCTAGAGCGGTGGGTTAAATTACAAGACATGCAATTAGATTTGAATTTCACATAAATAAATGGTTTTAGCATAAGTTTGTCCAAAATATCATATTTTTATTTGCTAATTCTAGCAACCCTATGCAAGCCTCATCTTCTCCAGCAATTCTTGTGAGTTCCTATGCAAATGATATTTTACCTCACAAGTAGACATGTGATCATGTTCCTTTGTGTTTTAAAGTATAGATTCACTCTAATTAAAATTTTATCATTTATGCTTTCAACACAGTTATGTAGAACAAACCTGGCTTTAAATTGTACATTAAAATTAAAAGTGGAGAGAAGAGTTGTGAAAGGAACCATAGAAATTATAGAAATTATAGCTAATCCATTCTCAAAGAAGAATTAAAATTAAATTTTATTTTCCATTGGTAAAATGCATATCGCGTAACTTAATATGCACATTGTTAATTCGGCCGCATCTTGAAGTATTTAGAATGTTGATCACTACCAAAATTATAGCTCATTTAGGAAAGCATAATGTTATGTAAATTGCCATTTAAACAGCAAGGCTAAATTCTTAAATGTATCAAAAGGTTCCAATTAAGGTCATTAACTGTGGTTGGCCAAGGTGAAAAAGCGACCACAAATACAAATTTTACCCTTGCAAGGGCTTATCAGCAGGATACACCTGCTGTATCAGCCTGAAGAAATATAAGCTTTTAGGACTGATTTAATTAGGATCAAATGACCTTCAAAATATATCAGTTTTAAGCAACCAACTTCCAATGCCTTTGGCCATTTAGTTGTTTTTTTGTAACACACTTAGTTTTGTATTTTACAGGGCTTGTTGGGAAGAACTGGACATCCCGGTCCCACGGGAGCAAAGGGTGACAAGGTACAGGGGAAACGCCTCACTTACTCTCTGAATTGGGGCTTGGGGGATGGCAAGGTTAGACCTTTAACACATCCATAAAATCAGGCAAAGCCTGAAAGTAGGAATAACGTCAGGTAATAGCTATTCTGGTAATGGACTTGGAAAGATACAGGTACAAAATCTGGTCTGAATACAGGTTCCTAGGAAAAAGGATGACTAGAACACTGGTGTCATATAGCAAAAGTCCAAACTGGGTTCAAGGTCCTGGGCATCTAGTTATGTGGAAGCGTGGAGTGGAGGTAGCTTCCTGAAGAGGTACGGGTACCATGGTTTGTAACAGGGAGTTCCAGCCACAGGTGCCAAGGCTTCAGACAGCTTGCTGAGAAAGTCTAGAAGTTCTGTCCTTCCAGGGTCATAGGGGAAATTCACTAAGGAATTAGGACTTTTATTTCCTGTGGAGTCGGTTGATTGGACAAATGGGTTGCTATGGTCTGAAGAGAAGACCAGCAACAGAGGAATCTCAGGCAGGACAACCCCAGGGCTTCATATGTTTACCCAATTTAGGTCTAAATTAGCCCCACAGTGTGAGCCCAGACACATACAGCCAAAGAGTGAATAAGACTAGGTATTCAGATTTGGGAAGTAAGCATCAAGAATCTCACGTGGCGTCTACCCTGAAATGACCAAAATGGGGCATAATGGCATCAAGAAGAAGCAAAGAGATTCCAAGAAAAAAAAAAAAAAAAGTTGAAAGGAGCCATGTGCTTATTTTAGATAGTCTCTGCACATTTTTTTCTGATAGTATTCCCAAGACACTTGCCCAATCCCACCAGCCTTTTTTCCTCTGTTCTCTATGGAAATTATTCAGTCAGAGATTTGCCTTTTGAAGTTAATGGGAATTCCACACTGAGATGAGCTTTGGGGCACAACCGAGAATGAAAATATGACTTTTAATTGTGCCAGGAAAAAAAGAGTCTTTTCAATAGGCACATATTTTTCCTTGTTTGTTGTCCTCTCATAGTTCATGAGAACTATGACATAATGCTCTGAAAGACACTGCCAGCAGTCAGCAGAATATGACATATCTTAGAGAGATAGCCACCATCAAAGCAGTTTGGGAAAAGATACAATATACTTATTGTCACTCATTCTCAGGCAGATCCATTGCAATAAAAACTTTACAGTTTCTTTTCATTGATAAAGATAGAAACAGTTTTTATGATACTTTCTTTTGTTATTGAAAAAAAAATATGGGCAGATTAGAATGAATTCCCTCATCAAATTCATGGAAACAGACTTAAATTCCTTGAAATTTGGGGGCATTGTAAGTAGGAATCTTACTGTCTGGATTCTTTTTTAATTAACCATTTCTTGCCATTGCCCTGACATGAAGGAATTTATAGATTTTATGAGGCTATTATCCTAAAAGAAAAGCACAGTTCCAGGAAACACTGGTTAAAGGCACCAAAGGGACTGTAATAGCTTTGCTTAGTATGGATCGATAAGCATTGTATGTTTTATAAAAATAAAAGTGAAATCCATTTTTCAAGTTTCAACTTGAATTCATTTTTCACAATTCCATTTTCAGGCTGCTTCTCTGCCAGCAGAATGTCTGAGGCTGTTTAAACTGTACAGAACATTTCCCTTAAACAGTGTTGTACCACAGTCACTGCTGTTCAACGGGGTGTACCTGACTTGGTTACCAAGTCCAGTAGAACCTTAGGGAGTGAAAAAACTTCCTTCTCCTGCAGACACAACACAGGGTGTGATTTTTCTCCTTTAGTCGAATTATACGGATGGCCTCTGGGTCCCAAAAGAAGAAGGTGGTGGAGTGGAGGCTAAAAGTGAGGGGATGACCCAGAAAGCCCAGTCCCCAAGCCTGCCACTGTTTGCAGGAATGCCTCTCTACACCCCCATATGAGCGGAGTTTCCTCGGCTGCACTTGAACTCCAGAACGGGAACAGCCAGGTTGTCTGGCTCCATCGGAAACTAAGCTTCATCCCCGGGGCTCTCCCAGTGGGAATCTGAATGGGTATGGAAAAGGCATTTACCTTTCCTGTAGTCTAGGAACGTATTTTCCCAGGTGAAAGGGAAAGCCCAGCTGGATAAGACTTGGCAAGGTTGAAACAAAATCGTATCGATTTCAGAGTACAGCTCTTCGAGCAAGCACAATCTGGTTCATAAACTTTGTGTCAAAATGGGCAAACCATTGATTTTTGGTCTCTTTATTCCATGCAGGGCAGTGAGGGACCCCCGGGGAGACCTGGACCACCCGGACCACCAGTGAGTTTCTCCAGTTTTAAAACTTAAATTCATGTGTCAGCTTGAGACTTCTATAACTCAGAGATCAGACAACCTTTCGATGCTTCCGGGATAAAAGGTGTCTGATTTTTATGGATACCTATGAATGGTAGCCAATGCAGCTTTGGGGAGACCTGAGTTTTCCCCTTAAGCGCAGCCCCAATATGAAGTACTCAGATCTGCATACTATAGGCCTCCTTCCTCTGGACTCAGGAGACCTGAGTGTGTGCCCCAACTCCCCACGTCCTGCCTGGGGGACCCTGGGAAAGCCATGTGACCTCAGTGAGCCCCAGTCACAGAAAAGAGGTGCTTTAAAAAGAGCTCCCTTCTGGCAATGTGAGTTGGTACAGAATGTGATGTTAGGCTACATGTGTTCATTACCACTCATGATGTCTGAGATGTGGAGAAATTCTATTTATATAGCACCTAGTGAATAAAATGTACAAGAGCTATCAATGTTTTTATGCTTGCGATTGAGACAGATGTGCACTTTGTCAGGGCGGCGGCAGAGAGGAAAGGTACTGCTCTCTGTAGCAAGTCTGCCCTCATGTGGGGCCACGCTGAAATCACAGCAGAGCTTTGGTCTAGGCTGAATGCTCTTTTCCATTCTACCTCATAGGCATACTTTAAGAAACCAAATTCACCTGAGAAAGGGCAGAATTAGTCTGTGACTTTCTGAAGACAGCAAAGATATATAATTATTCTGCCTGCAGTCACACATTTCATACCCATAAACAGATTTGCACTCTGTCTTCCTAAACCTGTTCTTCGTTTTGTTTACTTTCCTGTTCCCTTGACAGAGAAGCAGGACAGAAAGTATGTGGGGCTCAAATCCCAAAAGTCACTCTCTCTCCAGTGGACACAACAAGCAACATATAGCATGAGTTCACAAAAGGGCTTATGTTTTACACTGGGTTAAGATATCTTCCTCCTCCCCCTGAATTCTTCGAAACTATTCACTCTTCAAAATAGATTACATATTGTCTTTTTATGAGACACACTGTCTAGAAATCTCAGACAAAAATATTCATCTCTTTAGGACTCAGCACACTAAAATACAGTAGACATTCGCCAGTTGCTAAGTGAGTGAGTGAAATAATAAAGGAGTAAATGAATGGAGTATTTTCCCTCCCATCGCTAGTGTTTTGAATGTACGCAAATCCTGTTCACTGAGCACCACTGGCCACTATCACCGGAAAACAGCAAAATGATGGCTTCCTCAGTTTTGCAACTGAAGTGTGGTGATCCCAAAAAAGGAAAAATGCAGATTATTGATTCTTTAGGAACTTCTTAAAAGAAGGATAAAAGGTCCCAGCCATAATTTTTATCTGGAAATTTTTCCCGAATGCCAAAACGTAGTTTTCTTTAAAGATTGTTGAATAAGTTCTCTTTAAGTGTTCGTTATTCTGGAACTTTCCACTCACAGGTCCGTTTTATTAGGAAGTTTTATTCCCTGTTGTTCTAAAGAATATGTTTGTGTGGAAACATCCACACGGGGCTGTGAGCAACATCATTTTCCCCATTTACTTTAATTTTCTCTTTAGTGTAAAGGGACTGTAGAAAAAAATTACTTTTCAGTGGCCAAATTGCTCCCTATTCACATCTTCATCAGCACCACCGTGTTATAGCCTGCAGGTCAGCGGGCTGTAAACAGTTAGCATAAATCGGCGATTCAGAAACTGAATTTTAATGAGCAAATAGTATTTTCCTCTGAATGCATTAGTGTCTCATCTGTCAAACATAAACATTCATCACACCTCCCCTGAAAGTCTCTCTGGGCTGCAGGTGTAGCTCAAACTCCTGGTCATTTTCCCCCCTACATTTGCTTTAGAAAAGCCCAAAACGGATACATTGTTTTATTTCACTTGTAGTATCAAACTCCCATTCTAAAATAAACTAGGAGAAAACCATTTGGTAAAAGGATAAAAGGTAGAGAGACTATTAATGTAAAAAAGAATAATTCTCTATCTCCTCTCTTTCCAAAGGGTGTACCATTCAATGAAGGAAATGGAATGAGCAGTTTGTATAAAATCCAGGTACTTGCTTTGGTAATTATATGAAATTATTTTCCTGTGATAAGTTGCTGTAAATGTTTCTCACCTTTTTTTTTTTCGTTTGAAGGGAGGTGTGAATGTTCCCAGTTTTCCAGGCCCCCCTGGCCCCCCCGTGAGTACAGTTTTTTATCACTAAGCATTCTTTAGCAGAACAGCCTAAATAAATAAATAAGTGTTCCTAAGTTCACTGAAAAAGTACATGGTATGACTATAACCAAGATCTTCTGCAGTAGGAAATAAATGGCAGCAAATTATAATAAAATGGAGAAAGTGTGCCCAGCCAAAATCATGAAAAATAGCGTTCTGCATGGTGGTGTATCCCTTTCTGCATTGTAAATATAAGAACTGAGTCAGTGCCCCAGCAGTCGCTGTCTTGGGGTTCCATCAAGTTATGTCTCGTCATCATCTTATTCTCTAAATCCAAACTGTAGCAAAATAAAGCTTGCAAATACGTTGTATGTGTCTTAAAGCAAATTGAATTAAAGTGCTTTAGATTCTATAATTTTGCTTCCCTTGTTGCTTTAAAAACGATTTTCCGTGTTTTTCTCATAGGGCCCAAAAGGAGACCCTGGCCCAGTGGTATGTATATTCCCATGTTTTGTGTCATTTAGAAAATAAGTGTTTCTTGAAGTTTGAAAGAAGAGCGTTAGGCAAAGATGGCCTTTTTTCTTAGCCGTTCATCAGTTAACTAACATGGGAGGCAGGAGGCAAGCCACCAATGCAATACCAGCAATGTGTTCATTTTTAAGACATATTGGTCTTGATGTCACTGCCCAGTATCGGCCTTGTCTCTCTTATTAGTGTATTTTCAGAATTGCCCTGCAATGGAGGAGGGCGCAGATGAAGTTGCTGATGAACAGAACACTTGTTTCTGATAGCACGATTTTGATGGTTAACTCAGTGTAAAGTAGATTGTGGAAGAGAAATACTTACTGGAATGAAATTCCTTAATATGTCTCCAGTCTCTCTCTACTCCCAAAAAGGAAGGGGCTGTCTACTTGCTTTGGATGTCCGAGGCAGTTATTCGGTAGGAAATGTGGGGTGCTGTATCCACCTGCTGATTAGGTATAAAGGTATCAGGAGCTTAGTTAGCACTCAGCGTGGAAAGAGAGCATGTCCTGCAGCCCCCAAGAAAGTGACAACTGTTCTCAAGCGTCCTTCTCAACCACAGAGCATCAGGATGCTGCTTCTGCCGAATTCCTTAGATCCCCTTCATCCCTGGGCGGTTCTTCCTGTCATGTCCTTGTCAAGCATATGTTCATATTTCTCTTGTATTAACCTTTGAACCTTGATTTATAGAGTACACTTGAAACTCAGATATACCTGAAGTTGAAATAAAGTTTCAAATCATTTGCCATTGTCTTCGGGAAAAAAAAATTAAGGCCCTTTCATTACAGCACAGTTTGGTAAAACTGGATGAATCAATTTTTAAAAAGCAAAAGAAGAAGCCATAAAAAGTAATCTTTTCACATCTAAATATATTTTCAAAGAGCATGCATTAAAGCACATGTTTTTTGTTACTGGTCGGTATATATTAAGAGCCAATTTTCTCCCCGGAAAGCATGACTTTCAGCTAGTTTGTACCATTTTCTGAACCCCAATTATGTAACTTAGAAATTTCCTTTGTTTTCTTATTCATGTTACCCCCCTTTTATCTGTAACTTTTTTTAATGCTTTCACCAGTCATAGCCTTCATTCTAAGTTTAATTTTCTTTCATCTGGTTGATAAAAATTTCCACCTGGCCTTTTTCTCTCCTACTGACTCACAGCCCCTAGATGCCCCTAGACATCTCACTGACTCTTCTGGAACATTCTTTCAGGTTTTGCATTAAAAACTGCATATCAAGGTGATAACATTTTTTAAGCATTCTGATAAAGGATAAATCATAATTCACTGGATTGGAAAACAGGTAGCAGACAGGTTCAAGTAGACTTTGAAGAAATTAGGCTTCAGACTCCTTAGCTACAACAAAGGATAAAAAAATAAAAACTGATTAAAGGATATTCCTTGCTTTTAGAGATGTGATTTAAGTGCACGAAGCACAAAAGCAGAAAATCTGGAGTAATGAAGTTAAATACTGTATAAAGCCTCAGATTTATCCTACATAAACCTTTGAAATTATTCTTTGGAGCCTATGTCAGCAACAGTGTGCAATACCCTTCATTTCACACCAGTTACCCGGTACAGAGAAATACTTCTTCCTACTAGAGAAATAAGCCAGAAATGGTAGAATGATGGGTCACAGAGCAGAAAATGGAAAAGTCAATTTGAGGAGGCTGTTGGGCAGGAGGGGGAGATTTATTCTTAGCATCCTTCATTTCCCATGACACTAGGTCTGCACCATTGTTTCTAATCTTCTCAGTAAACATTTTTGTAGACAAAAATTACCCTTAATTGAATTTATCTTCTGAGGTGCTCCATTGAATTCCTTTGATATTTAATTTATAAGTGGCTTCAATTAAATATTTAATTATTAACTACTTTCAAGTAAATATTGATTGACGGGGTGACCACCTTCCTCAGTCCTAAGGATTGTTGAGGATGTAAACAGAGAGAATCAGAGTTCATTTCCTTTGTCAACAATCCAGGACCACTTTTACAGCACTTTATGCAGAATAGAATCTGAACATCTTTTTTTTTTTTTTTGTCTGATTGTTATATATTAGTGGACATTTAAAAAGATTTCTAAAGCATGAAAAGTATCAAGTCATCTGCTTGTTCATTAAGTGTTCTGTAATAAGGACAATATCATAAATAATAATGGAAGTTGGAGACTTGGTAGTATTTTGAAGCAGATTAGAATTATACATGCAAAAAAATATATTTACAGCGAATGAAAGCTCTCTTTTTATGTGATTATGTTGAAAGCATCCAGTGTCTTAAGAAAATATTTACAGTTGACATCAATTCATTAACAAGGAGGTATCAGACAACTACCTCCTTTATCTCTCTTGATATAAAAGACTTCATGTTTATTTGCTCAAAATTAGCAGCTTCCTTCACCCTAACCTTTCTAAATATATTTCTTGAGAGCCTTCAGGCTCTAGCTGGCCTGGGACCATACACTAGAATATGCAATAGATTTTTTTTTTTTTTTAATGGAAATGCTTACTTGTCTTCTGCCACTGACCCATGAGCTTGAGCAATAACTTTTAGAATCATCCAAGATGCTGCTTCTGGGGCCATCCCCTGAAGCATTCACAATTCATGGCGAACTGCAGAGAACACTGCAAAATGGTAAACTTTGCTATCAGACCTTCGTCTTCATCTGCTCTTAAAGAGCTTAGTCTTATTCTCCAGTCATCTAGCAGCCCTGAGTACCTCACACATTGGCAAACTTCATTAAAGCCCATCTTTCCTTCTAATTTTTATTGAAATTAGAGTTATCACTGACTGGAGGGATTCATTCTAATTAGATTCTTAATCAGAATAAAAACAATTAATCAGAAAATATATTCATACTTCTCCAGGGAATAGTTTTATTCTCAAACTATTTTCAAATATCAAATGCAAGCATACAGATGCTTGAAAATAGAGCATACCAATTACTTGCTAAATTGCTAATCAGTGTTTGGGGATAGTTTTTTGTAAAAAAAAAAAAAAAGAAAAAGAAAAAGAAAGAAATCTTTGGTTTTGAAACGAAGGCCTAAAACACCTCTTGGTCATTGCTTCTGCATTTCTCATGTTCATATTTAACAGGGAGAACCTGGTGCAATGGGGTTACCAGGACTAGAAGGATTTCCAGGTATAAAGGTGAGTACAGGTGTCACTCATTGTGGTCACTGAGTCAACATCCAGAAATGTTTACTGAGCAACTCCTATTGACCAGGAACTATTTTAGGTTTAAAGATAGCCAAGAGTACAAAACAGACAAAAATCTCTGCCTTCAGGGAACTTACTTTCTAGGAAGGGGATAGAGAAATGACAAGAGTAAACATAAGTAATAATGTTGGTAAATTCTATGAAAGAAAGAAAAAAGTAAAGCAGGTGAAGAAGGCTCCAGAGTGCTAAAGGAGAGTTTGTAATTTTAAATATTGGTCTGAGATAGCATGATCTGAGCGAGACTTGAAATAGTGACACAGAGTTAGTCAAGTCCCCTCAACGCTGAAGGAAGAATGTCCCAGGCAACATAAATCAGTTCTAGAGATCTAATGTGTAGGATGGTGACAATAGGTTACAGTACTTTACTGTATACTGGAAATCTGCTAAGTAGTCTCACCACTATGTTAATTAGCTTGATTATGGTGATCATTTCACAGTGTATGTATGTATCAAATCCTCAAGTTGGATACCTTAAATATATACAATTTTTAAAAGATTTTATTTTTTTATTTGAGAGAGATCGCAGTAGGCAGAAAGAGAGAGGGGGAAGCAGGCTCCCTGCTGAGCAGAGAACCTGATGTGGGGCTCCATCCCAGGACCCTGGGATTATGACCTGAGCCAAAGGCAGATGCTTTAACCCACTGAGCCACCCAGGCGCCCGTACAATTTTTTGAAAACACAAACTTTAGGTCTAAATGCACTGAGACCATGAGCATTCCTGCTCCACCAAAGGAGACCAGGGGGAGGAGGTGAAGGAAGGGGGTAGATGAAGTCAGAGAGATAGGGACAGAAGGGAGGTGTAGCCCGGTCATAGCAGTCCTGCAAAGCAATGCTACTCAAAAGCTGGCTGGTAGAGGACCAGTGCCAGTCTGCAAATTCTCTTATGGATTCTGTGGCAAGGTAAGTATAGACTGAGAGTAAGTACTTAAAAACTTGTCTAGCAATTTAACTTTGCTATGATATTCAAACATGTGATCAGTACACTCACCTTGGCTCAGGATGTATTAGAACGTAAATGATAAACTGCTCCCAGGGAAGCACAAGTAGTTTGAGAAGCACTGATAATAAAGAGGCTTATTAGCCACTGTGAGGACTTTATCTTTCACTCTGAGTAAAATACGGAGCCAGTAGTTCATTTCTGAGTAGAAGGGTGGTGGGGCCTGCAGCCGGAGGGCAGGGAACCCTGTTAGAAGACTGTTCCCATGATACAGCTGGGAGGGATCCTGGCTGAGATCAAAGCAGAAATGGTGGAGAGAGTGAGGGGTGGCTAGATTCTGGTTATACTGGGAAGGTAGAACCAACAGGACTTTCTAATTGATTGGACATGGGTATGAGAGAATAAGGAGAAACCAAGGACACTCCAAGTTTTTTGACCTGAGAAACTGATACGATGGGATAGTCATCAAGTGAAATGAGGAAAGCTATAGGCAGAGCCTGTGTGGAGAGGGTGAGGATGACCAGTTTAACGTTGGCCATGAGGTCAAATTTGGCGGCAGCTATTAGATAGCAAAGTGGAAGTATTGAGTAGGCAGAACAAGAAGAAGGCATGGAGTTTGAAAAGAGTCTTAGTGCAGTTTTAAACTTGGTTGTTCCAAGTGTGTAGACGCTGCCTTAAAGCCAGGAGACTTGACAACATCTCCAAGGGAATGACAGATTTTATAAAAGAGAGGAGTACTGAGGACTGAGCACTGAGGCCTCCAACATAAAGGGATCAGGAAGAAAAGGAAGAATGAGCAGGGAAGACTGAGATAAAATGACCAGGGAGTTACGAGGAAAACTTGGTGTCCTGAAAGCCAAGTGAAGATAGTGTATCAAGGTGAAGAGGGTAATCACTTGTCTCCAGTACTGCACATGGGTCTAGTATGATGGGGATGAGATCAAGTAGGACGGTCAAGTATCAACCATTGGATTTATCAGGATAGAGATAGATGATTGCTATTCACTATTTTGGTAGGAGCAACTGTTGGATTTAAATGGATTTAAGAGAGAATAAGAAAAAAAGAATTAGAGATAGCAAATACAGTATAAACAATGGCCAAGGAGTTTTGCTACAGAGGAAAGGAAAGAAATGGGAAGGTGACTGCTGGAGGAAGTAGGGTGGGTAAGGTTTTATAAAATGGGTTTTAGAAATGGACCATAGAAATATCAGATTAGTTGTATGCTAAAGGAATGATCTGGTAGAATGGGGTAGGGGAGTGATGATACAGGAAGAAAGGGGAGAATTTTTGGAATGACATCTTCAAATTGCTAAAAGAAAATAGGAACCGGTACATAAATGGAGGGTATGGCTTCAGAGAGGAATCTGGATAGTTCATCTGGAGTAACAGGTGGAAAAAGAGAGTGTAGGGGTACAGACACTAATACACAGGAAGAATAATTGGTTGGGGTCTATAGAAGTTCTTTTCTGGTTGCTGAAATTTTCTCAGAGATGGAGGAAGAAGATCATCGTCTGAGAGTGATGAGGGAGAAGAGGTAGGAGATTTAAGGGGAAGGTCTAAAAGAGAGGGAGAGTCCTGGGGCCACAGAGTGGGATGAGTAGGCAGCCCCAGGACACCCCTGAGGTTCATGAGTATAAACTGAAGTGAGACCAGTCAGGGAGATCTTCTCCAGCATGTACACTCAGTTAAAGACATAGATTTAAACAAAGTTCCAGTTTTGACAGGTGAGTACTAAAAGCAAGTATGGGCCAAGACAGTCAATGGTGTATACAAAGGAGTGATTAAAACAAGTGACCATGGGATTTAAACTAAATAAATAAGGTAGAGAGGCCATTTAGAGAGTTGAAGGATGATGGAAGATTTGTTCAATGGATTAGAGGTCTTGATAGCATCAAAAGTGTGAGAATCCAAGGTACTTACGGAAGTGAATTAAAACTATGGTGGCCCAATATCAGAACGCATGAAACTGAGTTTATGGAGGGGATGGAATTATGGTTACTGACAAGGCCTCCGGTATAATAGTGGGAATAAGAGGCCAGATCATTAGAGGAGAATGGTTGAAAGAACTGCGAGACCTGAACTTTGGAAGGACTATATTGTCCAAGAGAAGGTTTCTTACTATTAATATTAAACTTTATCAGATATACAAGAGTTTCCACTGAATAAAAAGTTGCACTATATTCATTTTGGGGGTTAAAATCCCATAATTTGACAAGAATTACCTGTTTGTACTATTTGTCCTCTATTCTATTAGTTTTGTTCTATTTATCTAAGGATAGGCTTTATAAAGATACTACTTCTATTTAAATGTTAGATTTTATCTCCTAGCTTGTCTGACCTTTCATTTTCATGTTTGATCTCATAGTATATAGAAATATAACATTTATGTAGTCAAATATCAAACAATTTTTCTCCATGTTTTCTTGTTTTGCTTTTACGCATTAAGTTCTTTTTATTCTTATTGTCAACCAAAATCAGGTAGTCACTTTGTATTTTCTTCTAATTCTTTTATAGTTCATAATATTTTGTTTTTTACATAATCTATATGGGATTTACATGGAGTATAATATAAAGAGAGCAATTAAACTCTTTTTAAGGAAATTACTCAATTATTAGTACTATATTTTGAATAATACATCCCTTTCTTTACTAAAATCCTATTATAGATGTTGGCCTATGGTTATATTGCATTTTTATATTGCATTGGTATACTGCTTAATCTTGTGCCAATATTCCATTATTTTAATTGTTATAGCTTTGTTATATGTTCAGATATTGGTATTGCTAATCTCTGTATTGTTCTTCTTTTAATTTTTTTCTTTTATCTTCTCATTTATTCATTATCCAGGGTGGACTTTAATATCACCTGGTCAAGCTGAAATTTCATAAGAATTGCATTAAATTTATAAATTAGTCTGGGTAGCAATGACACCTTTACAACATTGTCTTGCCCTCCAAGAACAAAACATATCTCTTCATTTAATCAAGTCTTCTTTTATGTCCCTGAGTGAAGTTATGAAGTTTTTTAATGTAGGTTCTGCTCAACAAAAGTTGCCATTTTATTATCCCGTATATAATCATTAACACTTTTAGCATCATCAGCTTTATCTAAAATATCACATTGCCTTTGGAAAAAGAATTACATCACTCTGCTGTTCAGAGCAATTGAAGGGATCTTCTGATGGCCTAGTGAGGAGAACTACAAAATCCCTTGTTCTAAATATCTTATTCCAACCCTATATTGAATAAGACAAGTGTAGGAAAAGCTTTTTAGAAAACATTCAATGTGCTTTCTTTTTTAAGTATTGGTAATGGATTACTTTTAGAATAAAAATACTATTTTGACTAATCTTAGCTATAAGTATGTATGGAGTCCTACTAAAAATAGGTCACAGAAATGATAACCTGAATGCTTATTTTTGTTAAGATTATTATTTGCTTTCGTTTTTTGGGGAAAAAAAAAAGCTTTAACAAATTCAGTTAGCTACTAATTTTTATTTTACCATCTGATGATACTGATAACGCTTATCAACACCAAAGAAAATCTTCACCAAATCCAAATACTCATTTGAGCATTAATTTTATAGACAAAGATTTTATAGATATCATCATAAGCAGCAACTTTTTTTTAAATCCCAACAGGGGGATCGAGGCCCAGCAGGCCCCCCAGGAATAGCTGGAATATCGGTGAGTCCAGAGCATCTCATATTATTTTCACAAGGAAGCAATTCTATCTCCACAGTCAATCTGTGGCTAGGGATCAAGAAGAGGTAGGGACCACACAGTAGCTCTTATGACAATAGGTTCTAGAAATATCCAGTTAAAAAAATAAAACCACCTTGTCCCTATTTATCCTCAAGAATTCTCCTTTCTTTTTTATTTTTTAAAATTTCTTATTTATTTTAAAGAAGGAGGGAGAGAGAGGGGAGGGGCAGAAGGAGATGGAGGAAGAGAATCTCAAGCAGACTCCCCACTGAGTACAGAGCCAAGCATGGAGCCCAGTGTGGGGCTTGATCCCATGACCTTAGGATCATAACCTGAGCTGAAACCAAGAGTCTGACACTTCACCGACTGCACCACCCAGGCACCCCAAGACTGTTCCTTTCTTTGTGTTCACCTCTTTCTTTATTATCTTTTCCTTTTTTCCCCCAACTTCCTTAATGAGGGGAGGAGATGCCCAGTTAATTACAAGTGCCAATACGTTAATACACGAGCCCAACTTTGAGAAGCTAGTTTTGTTTCTCTGTTCTTGTCATATTTAAGGTTTCTTGGCCCCCAAAAGATGACGCTCTTATCCTTAGGCATGTACTTCAAGTTCTTTTTTTTTTTTTAATTTTTTTTTTAATTTATCTGACAGACAGATCACAAGTAGGCAGAGAGGCAGGCAGAGAGAGAGAGGAGGAGGAGGCAGGCTCCCTGCTGAGCAGAGAGACCGATGCGGGACTCGATCCCAGGACCCTGGGATCATGACCCGAGCCGAAGGCAGAGGCTTTAACCACTGAGCCACCCAGGCGCCCCTGTACTTCAAGTTCTTGATATTAAGCTACAATCTGCCCGAGTTTTCCCTGGGCCTGGTGTTATTAACAAATCTTTACAGCTGCTAATGTTTCCTCGTAAACCAGCCCTTCCAGACTCTCAATCATTTTTGTTGCTCTCCGGTGTCAAATGTTTTAATTTCATCAAGGTCTTTTCAAATGAATAGGAAGTACTCCAGGAAAGGTTGAAATCATTTCTCTGAGCCCTAGGGATCATTCTGATCTCCATTCATGATGCTCTAATTAAAATTTTGTGGCCATGCTTTATGAGTAAGAGCCCACTTATCCTTTTGTTCAGTGCCCCTGCAGGGTAGGCCCAGGGTAGGAAAGTCAGTGGAAACTATGTGCTTGAATCATAGGAACACAGGATAAGAAAGGGCTCTATCGTCCCACTCACCACCACCCACTGACATCTACTGACACCCAGCACCACCCAGAGCATCCACCACTCCCCACCGCCATCCACCACCACCCATCACTCTCATCCTTTAAAAGACCAGTAGCCACTCTCTTTTATTCTTTGTAGATATTAAGTCTAAGAACAAAAATTCAAAACCCATCTCTACTTTGTAGAAAACCATCCTTTGTAGAGGATGAATCCCCTTATTTAGCAGTTCTATCCCTTTCTAGTATTTTCAAGCCCATCCAGAGATTTCTCCAGGGCTTGTTCCTCCTGCTTCTTCCCAGGATGACACATGGGTAGACAGGAGGAGGTGTCTGTGAGTGCTGGCAATGAGGTGAGGCCTCGAGTCAGCATGCTGTCCCCCAGGTTTTCCAAGCTCCCCCCAACCTTTGAGATTTCTGTTGCCTGCTACCAATGTCCCTGATCTCTTTGTCTCAGATCTCAAAGCGTGAGCACTCTCCCCGTTGTGTCCTATGCCAAGCCCATGTGGGACATTATATTTATAATGCTCTAACATATCCCCCCACTTGGGCCCACAGGAGATTCGGGAGTTCCTGCTTGTACACACGGGCTCTGGGGAACCAGGACTGCTCTCTCAGGCCTTGTGTCTGCCTTGCTTCACCACTCAGCCATATCTGAACCTGTGAGGCGGGCTCCTCCCAGAGTTCTGGACAGCAAGAGGAGTGAAGAAAGGGTCCTTCCTTTTTCAGATTCTCTCCTGGGAAACCTACTAGGGTTTCTGCAGCCTTGGCCCCATGCCTATATCCCTGTGTTAATTTGTTTTTCTGTCCATGTTAAGTCCAAGGGATAGAAGGGGGTTCCTTCTTTAAGCTTGATCTGGACACTTTGGCACTTCTCACTTCTGGGCTCTAATGGACCATCTTCCTCTCTTGTCCCTCCCAGTGGCCTCTCTACCCAACACTTCTCTGTTGTCAGTCCTCCAAGCCGTAATGTGTAGGAATAAATCAGTCTTGTCCCCTTCCTTTCAGTCAAACATGGCTTTTCCAGTCAAAAATGGTGTTTCTTCAGGCTATCCTACTATGAACTTAGAAACCCTCTTACGAGACACAAAATCTAGGAAAGACTTCTTTGACCCCATGTGCCCTCCTGGCTCCAAAGTCGAGAAGAACTGCTGATCAAATAAGCACTAGAGGTATTTCCGGTAATGAGGATACATTGGTTTCATATTTTCAAAAATAGTATCGTCCCCTCCCACCCATCTGCTATACACATATGTGTGCGTTCAGAGAACTGCATTCTAGTCCATACCTTGGAGCCTCCAGAGTCAAGTACATGTCCCCACAGACTCTGTCCCATTAAGAATGCCATTTTAGTATAGAGAGCCACAGGCCTGGCAGCTCCTTAAATTCACAGGCAGGGAGGGGATGGTGTCATGCCGTAATTTGGCTCCTCATGTTTCTCCTTGCTTTGATTTCCCAGGGAAAACCTGGAGCCCCAGGGCCTCCGGGAGTCCCAGGGGAACCGGTGAGTTTCCAGCCACTTACTTCACAGTTGTACTTGCGTGCGGTTCCAGAGCTTTCCTTGGCAGCTAATGTTTGTCTGTGGACATGCCTATAGGGTGACAGAGGGCCTGTTGGAGACATAGGTTTCCCTGGACCAGAAGGACCCTCCGGAAGGCCAGTAAGTACTTTTTACTATTTAAAATTTGCCAGTTTGAGAAATATTCCAAACACTGTCTATCTCTTATCTCTTATCCAATCACTGTCCTATCTCCTTGGAAAATCTGATGTTTGTAGTTTCTAAGGAAGTAAGAGCAAGTTCCACAAATGGGTCTTTGGGGGTGTGGTTCTCCCTGAGTGTCCTAGCTCTGTATGAGGTATCTTTAAGTCTTAATGATGAAAAAAGTGAGATTTTGTTTGGTTGTTTGAAGTGTCAGGAGATTAGACTCATTACTTCTTAAGTCTGATGTTCTCCTGGTTAAAAAACAAAATGGCCTTTCACATCCTAAAATATAAAAAACCTGAAGACTCACAGATATAACTCCTGGAGGCCAAGCTAAAAACTGAAGAAGAAGCTATTTTCTCAGATTCCCTTCGTTACCTATGGACCTTGTTCTTCTACCTTCATAAATCGTGCTTCTAAACATAGCATCCATTTGGTTCCTAAAAGAACTCTTGGATACTGACATATATTGCTATAACACAGTAATAATCATTCATACTAATTCAGTTTACTTCAACATATATTTATTTAGTCTCTTCTGTTTGCTAAGGATGTGCTGGGCCATGAGGGAGGGGACAGAAAGATGAACAACATGCAGCCCTCTCTCGGGTTTACCCTTGATAGAAAGTCACTGCTCCCTTTGCTTGTTTATTTGTGTGTGGGGAGGGATGCTATTAGGAGAAGGAGGACACTGAAGGTAAATAAGCAGCACAGAGTTCACAAGGCTGGGTCAGTACCTCTGGGAAACCTCTGGGTCTGAGTGCTCCCTGGCCTCCCCCTCCTCAGAGAAGCAACATAAAAATAGAGGAAACATATACAATTTAGAGTCAGAAAAATATGGGTTTGAATTGTGACTCTAAGGGTTTTGTGAGTCACTTAAGTAACATGACATATGGTACACATTGTCAGTGCCTGGCCCTGGGAGACACTCAAAAAATAGCTTCAATCTGGAAACCCACTGAAGCATTTGTAGTGGGGAAGGAAAATGGAGTATATTGCAGAGTATCAGTCTGACTATTCTGTGGAGAGCAGACTATAGGAAGCAGGATGGAAGCAGACAGAATAGTGAGGAAACATCACCATAATCTCCATGAGAAATAGTGATGGGGAGAACAGGGAGATCATGAGAAGTAAGGGAGTTTAGAATGTACATCAAAGGGAGAGTCAGCAAATTCACTGATGGACCAGAAGTGGAATGTGAGAGAGAGATAAGTCAAAGCTGTGGCGTGGGGTCGAGCAGCCATGTCACAGTGGCGCTTTTGGTGAGATGGGAACTACTGGAGGTGGGTAGGTTTGGGAGGAAAATCAAGAATTCTCTGCAGTGGACACATTGAACCTCAAGCACTCGTAGACATCCATTGGAATTGTCAAGTAAGCGGTTGATATACATATCTTGAATTAATGGACAGGTCAGGACTGGAAAGACTGATTTGGGGATTTTAAACCTGGGTCTGAATGAAATGTAGTCCCTGCGGATTGGGAGGGAAGAAAACATTTCAACTGTTAGGAAAAAGACCCAGCAAAAAATCTGAGAAGGTGCAGCTAGTGAGATATGAAGGAAACCAGGTGAATGAAGTTTCCTGGATGTTGAGGGAACTAAGTGTTTTAAGACAGAGAAATGATGAATCTAGATAAATCATGTGAGAGCTGACAGTTCTGCACTGGGTTTAGAAATGTGGTGGTCCTTGGTGGGAGAGGTTACAGCACACTTTCATCTTGATAAGAATGATCCAGTCGAGAGGGGAAGTTTTGATGATACCATGGAAGTGGAGATAAATTTGAGTAAGGGGAGAACACTGGTATTCCACTCAGAAGTGAAAATCGGCCTTCACAAGGAACAGGGGCAGCTCATCCTTCTCACTAGGAGGAAGGGGACAGGCAGACATTGGTGTACAAATGTGTGTAGGTTGGATCTATAGGAGAGATATTTTCTCTCCTACGTATTTTCTCAGTGGAAGAAGAATCAAGGTCATTGGTTGGGTGTAAGGAATCAGGTGGTGATGCTGGAGATCTGAAGACAGGAAAATTTGTGAAAGAATACTTAGGGAGAGAAGGAGAGGGAGTTGAATCAGGAAATCCAGGATAGCCTGGTAATACGGAGGGGATACTTGTACTCTGCCTGCTTTCATTTAGGTAGGAACAAGTGAGCAAGGACATGCGTTTTTCTTCAACCACAGCCAGCTGCTCAGACGCAGACATGTGATAGACAAAAGGCTGCTTACACCCAGGTGTGGAGTTCTTCCAGATAAGTGAGATGAGGGAGGGAAAAACAAATCCATGCAGGTTATTCTAAAAATCTCTAAAAGCAGTACTTGTCTGCTTTTAGAGAACAAAGGAGAACACACGTGATAGTCTTTGATGAATTACAAAAGACCAAAAAAGAAAAAAGAAAGAAAGACTGTACGGTTTCTTTTCTTACGTTGTTACCAAAAGCATGAATTACATGTTAACACTGGATACATCTTCTTTTATTCAAGTGGTACAGCTGGGTTGTGTCATCCCCTCCCCCACTTCCTCTCCTTAATCAGCTTTATCTTTGTTGCCTGTGTTTCTGGATGTAATAAATTCTTTGAACCACACATTGCAGGTAACGTGTTCTTAGTTAAAGTACTCTACATAATTCCCAGATGATTCAGAGAGGTTGGGGGACTTTGGTTGGGTTATCAACTGTGACAGATTTTAGTGTAATTTACAGCAGTGAAAACATGTGCTTGTCTGCAGTTCCATCCTCATAAAATCCATTCGAGCACAGCAAAACTTTCTTAGCCTTTTCAGAAGAACATGTCCATGCAGTTGTCTACTAGCTAAGAAATCATTTCCCTCACCTCGATCTCTCTCTTCAAACCAAATCTCAAAAACACATCTACTATTGAACTCTAGGTGTTTGATTTGACCCCAAGTGCTTTTCCTTCTGACATCTCCCAGCCACAAGTTTTCTCCATCTTGTAAATCTCTGAGTAGGGGGCTTTATTTCCACCTCCAGGATGGCCTTGTAAAGTTTGGTTAACTTCCAGTTTACTAATAAAAAAAACCCAAAACACTACTTAATGCTTTCAGAAACCATGATTACAGATTTCCTACTTTTCTTTCATATTCTCCCACTGAAAAATAACAAATTGTTCTCTGGCCGACAGTTTATTTCATAGGAGGATTGTGCTCTGGCCATGTTATGAAATTTCCCCAGCAGCAGCTGAGACCATTTACTGAGAATGACTCTCTGTGCTAGAAAATTGTTGGGCGGTAACAATAAATGCCACCCACCAGCCACCCAGCACCACGGGCCACCTTATTTTTCAGATTGTACCTAAGAGAATAAGTAAGGAAAATAACCCCATTGACTATTTACAGTGACTTGGGCATTTTCTGTTGCTTTACCAAATCCTGAGTTTTCAAATAATGACTTCATCCTCACTTTATAAGGAAAGAAACAGATGCTATTAGAAGTCAGTAAATTGCCTGAAGTAAATGGAACTCGTCAGTGACAGAGCCCGAATTTGAACTCCGGACCATCTACTCTCTCAACTTCATTTTCTGTTTCACTCCACTCCCTCACCAAAATAGCAGAAATGTGATGATTAGGTCCTCAAAACTTTACCCTTTTATTGTGTTTAACTATGTCTACCGATGTAGAATTAGGAATATTGATCATCTTCTGTCTTTATAGGGAATAAATGGAAAAGACGGATTGCCCGGTGCTCAGGTATGGAAAATACCACTTCAGATAAACATTCTCATGCAAAACCTCATTTGCAGTACCTGTCAAAATACTTGACTAAGCAGGCTGGGGAAAAGTCTTGGCAAGCATTGATTTTTTAGTGTTGACATTTGTTTTTCAGGGTGTCATGGGTAAACCTGGAGATAGAGGCCCCAAAGGAGAACGTGTATGTATATTACCCTTCTGATCATGATTTAATCCTGTCTGCTGCAGCTGCCTTATCCTTTGAGTTACACAATATGTGTGTGGATCCCTGCAAATCCCCCAGTATGACACTTTTAGGGTGTATGTGACCCAAGATCTCTTCTAGGCATGAAACAGGCCCGTTGAAGGACCCCGAAGCAGGCCATATGGCAGGTACACCTACAACAATGACCTTTCTTCAGAACGAAGTCTAGTGTGCTATTCCACTTGGGAAAGCTTTGATCCTCCTGTCTCGGACGCATATTCCTACGATAGCGATCACCCATTTTCTTGTTCCTTGAGTAGAGTTTCTCAACCTTGGCACTGTTGATGCTGTTGATGTTTGGAGTGGACAGTTCTTTGCTGTGAGTGTCCACCCTGGGCACTGTAGGATGTTTTGTAGCTTCCCTGGTGTCTAGCCAGCAGATCAGTGCCGCCATCTTCTCTCCGGTTGTGACAACCGAGAATGTTTCCAGACATCACCTTCTGGGAACCGGAGTGGCCCTCGTTGAGAACCCCTGATCTCATGGAATATGAAGTCGAGTAAGGTGGGGTGGTGGTGTGGAGAGGTAGAGCAGTGGAAAGTGGAACCAAACACATAGAGTCATGCCAATTCTGTCCTGTACTTTTATTGGAATTGGTTTGGTTGTTGGTGTTGTTCCAACTTCTCATTATTTTCTTTAGTGAACCTTAATGTTTTCAAGTAGAGTTGGAGCCAATCCACTGCAAAGATTCAAGCACTGTAATTCAGTGGAATTCCTGGGTGGGTTGCTAGTATATTGCATATGTGTGTTTGTGTACTCATTTGTCTAGTTTACTCATTTTTACTTATTACACAAGTAATTCATGATAACTGAAGGTCATTTGAAAACAGAGATAATATAAGTAAAAAAGAAAGAAAAAAGTCTACGTTATCCCCCTGCATAGAGATAAGGATTCTTAAATTTGTACAAATACTATTTTGGACATATTTCTATTTCTCTCTTACATATGATATACATATATACTTAATGTATTGATGCAAAAGAATATATGCTCTTCCAAAAATGTGTTCAGACTGTTTTGTAAATGACTTTTTTCACCTAACAGTATATAATGACCATCTTTCCATGTCAGTCAATACAGATCTGCATATGACTTTTAGTGGCTATATGTTATTCCACTGTTTGGATATACCTTACTTCACTTTCCCAGTCTCCTTTTTCTGGATATTTAGGTTCTTTCCAGTTTTCATAATAATAAACATCACTATAATGAACATCCTGGTATTTCCCCAAATGTGAGTTGATACACCTATATGCAGATATATTTTTATAACTAAGAGAGTAATGTTGAAATTAGGTCCCTGCTTTTTCTTCTTTATACATGGCTTCTTTCTACACCTCTTCATTCCAGGATCAAATAGATCCCTATAATTGTTCATCTGTTTTCATTACTTTTTTTAAATCAACAGAAACGGAGTTGGGCCCTTTGCATAGTACTCACAAATAAGAGTAACACAATGAAATACATGGCAGCCTCAGTGCACCATCCCATCATACCTGGTGTGGTCATCACCTTCTGGCATTGGGGAACTGAGTATTTGGAATATCTCTAACTGAAACATGCTATGGTACATATATACCCCTCTCTCCTGATGCCCACCCCATCCTCTAATGCACAAACACATGCAGTAGTAGACACCTTGCTGGATAAGTCAGCATTAAATAGACTTCTTATCACAGTCAAGCCACCTAATACTATCTTATACCTAATTTACTATGGCACTTTACTCAGCGAATTCTCTCGTAGTTCTTTTATTTATTAAGTATATGATCTCAATGATGACCCTCCACCCCAAGCACCTGCTCCGAACTTTTTCAAAGGCTCTCCTTTCTCATCTTTCCGAGTTGTTTATCTTTGGGACACAGCGTGTATGCACATGCACACAAACATACACAAGCACACTCACATAACTGTAAAACACAAATAAAGAAACCAACCCACAGAATCTAATAAAAATTCTGATAGAGATAAAAGAAAAAGAAAAGCACATGATTTGGGAAGGATTTTGAGGGTCCTGAAGTTTTTACTTAGCGTTAAATCTTGGTGACCATCTTCATTCAAGTACAAAATCCTCTTGGCCATCTTCCTTTATGATTGCCAAGGAGACCCAGGCCTGAAGTGAGAGCTGCTGTTGACTTTCAAAAGTGTCATCATTCTAGACCAGCAATCAAGTACAACCAACATTGTCACTAGCTTTTGGGGGAGTGCCTTCAACATCCCAGTCATTGTTCTAAGCACTTGACTTGACTCATTCATTTCCAGCATCACCCTTTTTCGTGGGTATTATTAATATCTCCACTTTATGGGACAGGAATCTAGGGCACAGAGGGCTCAATTCTCTTATCAGAGGTGCCACAGCTAGCAAGTGCCCGTATGAATGCAGAACCTTTGCTCTTAACCACAGCTTACGTGTTCTAGAAGAGATCACTCTTATTAACTTCTTCCTTAACAGGGTGACCAGGGAATTCCAGGAGACAGAGGCCCACAAGGTGAACAGGGGAAACCAGGCCTTCCAGGCATGAAGGGAGCCATAGGTCCTGTGGGGCCACCCGGAAACAAGGGCTCCACGGGATCCCCCGGACACCAAGGCCCTCCAGGCAATCCAGGCGTCCCAGGCACTCCAGTGAGTAGTGCCAAGAGCTCCAGCAGCTCCTGGCTAGCATAGACCTCGTATCCCTTTGAAAGAAATTGGAATTCATCCCAGTGAAAGCAATCATAATCCTTTAAAAAGAAATAAAATGAACCTAAACTGATCTCCACAAGGGTAGCAATACCTGCCACTTATTTCAAGTTATGTACCAGACCCTCCGCTAAGTACTTCCTCTACATCACCTCTGCAGAGCCTCACAACTCAGAGGATGGTGTCCTGTCCGTCTCACTTTGACGAATGCAAAAACTCAGAGTTGGCTTGTTCAGGGTCACACTTATTGAGTGGGTTAGACTCAGGTCTGACTGACTCCAAAGCCGTGCTCTTAAATACCATCTATAATGTCTCCTACACTACACAGATGACATATGTCTGTTTTACGTGAAAACACTATTTGTTGAATATGAGAACCACAAACCTGCCCTGAGTGGTACTTTGATGTGGAAAACGGGCCAAGAAGGAGTGTTTGGTTAAGGAAGCCCATATTATTATTAATACCCTCAGGAGGTGTGGTGGATGGTCATTCACAGAGGAACTTAATCAGAAAACATCCTGGTCAGGGAGAAAGGTGGGTCCTGGAGTGAGGGCAGTGGAGGGCGGTGGAGGGCGGGGCAGGGCGTTAAGGACACACTGTCCTCAGATAATCAGCCAGCACCAGATGGAGAGCCAACTGGGGCATTCCCACAATATTGAGATTCTTTATTTTTATCCATTTTCCCTAAGCTCTACTTGAATAAAGCCTGTATAATGAGTTCTCAGTGATGTGTCAGTAATTGGTATTAGATGCATTAACTCAAGTTCATATGTCCCATATGCCATGAAAATAAAATATTGAAAGAGAGCATTTTTGGAACTACACTGCCCTATAGATATCATTATTTTATGAGCCCATCATATTGTCTTTAATGTCATACATATACACTTGAATAATAACCACTAAAAAGAGAGGAGCAATAAAATACTTACAAATCCTAATGATCATGGAAAATAATAGCTCTCTTTTAAAAATATCGAGTACTACAGTAAAATGTTACTATAATGTTAGGTTCTCTCCCAAATTCATGTAGCTTCATTTGTTAAGGGGTTAAAAATTCAACTGACATCCTTTACCTACTTCCCTTTCTCATGTCCCATAGCGTTTTCCATTAAAAAAGGAAAATTGCTTAATACAAATATGTTCACAAAGTGTAAATTACAGAATAAACTATACCATAAAAATGACTAAAACTTAGTAAGTAATAATCCAGCACACTTGGAGTTCTTCTCCTTTAAAGATGCGTAGTATCCTAGATACTGACTTCACCAGTGCCCAAGGATTGGTTAGAAGTTAAACTGTGCCTGGGATATTAATGTCCTGATAACACTGTTCAAGTTCTGTAACTTCAGAAAATGAAGTAATAGGAAATGTCTTTCCTAATCATATGAAGCCATGTCTCTCCATTTAATAAGAAATATGTTCGAGTCACTGGTTATGTTTCCAGCCCACGGCTTTTAAAGCAATTATGCACTTCAAGTTCTTCTCAGCATTTGATCAAAACAAAGATACTTATTGCCTAATAGAGCCAACTGCCAAAAGCATTTTGTTTGATAAATGTGTCTCCACGGAAGTTTCAAGTATGCACACCAACCCAGGATTCCTAGTCTTTACTCATTTGTGCTATGCTCAATTTTAAGACCATTTTCCCCCTTCTTTAGGCTGATGCGGTTTCATTGGAAGAAATAAAGAAGTATATTAATCAAGAGGTTCTAAGGATTTTTGAAGGTTAGATCTACTTAATAAACATTTCTGAATTTTTCTTCAGTTGCCACCTTCCATCCACTGAAGGGGATCCCTTCAGCACTCTCTCAAAAGATGGCCATACAACAACGATGTTAAGAGGCAACCTACTTTATGAGGGGGGATGGGGCCTCTCGGTTGGATAGAAAATTCTTCCTTACACTGAGTTAAACTTGCCTCTCTCTAACTTTCTCTCCGCATTCCTGGTCTGTTAAGTAGAACAGGTGAAGTATCTTCCTCTAGTACCACGACAGCCCTTACAATATGGTACTTCTCCTTACTTTTCTCTTCTATGGTGCAACTGTGTCTAGCCCAGCCTGTCACCACTCTTTTTAAATGACCCTCATTCACCCAGGAGTATTTTGACCAAGGCAGAGCACAGTGTGTTTTGATCTAGACCCAGGTCAACAAACTGTGGCCCACCAGCCAAATTCACTTGTGCCCAATTTTTGTATGGCCCATAAGCTGACAATGATTTTGCTTTTGGGGGGGAGGGTAGGGAGGAGGAGCATGTAGGAAGTACATTTTTAAATGGTTTTTTTAACTCAAAAGAATATTTCATGACATGTGATAATGATCTGAAATTCAAATTTATTTCCATAAAGTTTTATTGAAGCATAGTCAGACTCATTCTTTTAAGAATTTTCTCTGTCTGTTTTCATGCTAGCGTAGTAGAATTGACTAGTTGTCATGGGGATTGTATAGCCTGAAAAGACTTAAATATTTATTATCTGACCCTTTGCAGAGAAAGTTTTCTAACCCTTGATATAGACACTTCAATAATGCTGCCTAAGAGAGGATCCTTAAAAAAAAAAAAAAAGCTTCCTTGATTTTGATTTTCCAATTAACTAACAACCCTCAATCTTATTTACACAAACTTTTACAAATTAGGTGTTTCTCATTGAGCACTGTATCCATTTTTAAACTCTAAGTGTGTGATTTAATATTTCTTAATACTACATTTCAAAAGGTTTATGTTCACGCATTGTCCCAAACTGAAGTTATCTTGTGGAATGTTGTCTTACTGTAGGGCAGGTGGGCTGACCCTCAGAACTTGGTTTCATTTCTGAATTTTATAATCATGTCATCATTCCATTGTGTTTAGAAATGTTGAAGGGAAGAGTCAAGAGTCAAGGGTTAGGCCTTTCTTACCGCCATTGCGTTCCTGCTCTTCACTTGTAAATTCTATTAATCTATTGTTTCAGTGACCTCTGAATCCATATATACAGTTTTTGAAAATCCACTCTATATTTTTTTTATCTGTTCCCAAGATATCATATGATTTTGTCAGATGACTTGCTAAAATCAAGATCACTCCCCTCAACTGTGAGCTTAATAAACTGGGGAATTTTTTTGTTTTGTTTTGTTTTTTTAAATTTTTTATTTATTTATTTATTTATTTTTTATAAACATATATTTATTTTTTTCCCAGGGGTACAGGTCTGTGAATCTCCAGGTTTACACACTTCACAGCAGTCACCATAGCACATACCCTCCCCGATGTCCATAACCCCACCCCCCCCTCCCA